TGACAGTTATGGAACCGTGTGAAATCCATCAGCTCTGTACAACTGTCAACTCTGAACTACTTAATACCACCTCCAGACTAATAAGCAGTTGGAGAGGTAGACAGGATATGCTGTGAAGTGGTGTGACTGTATTTTGTGCGCAAACTTGGTAACCAATTTGCACACAGCAGAGTCCCAAAATAGCCATGCAATGAATGACCAATTTGGGGGGATTGTTGACCAGATATTTGTCGGGTGGAAAGGTTTAAAAGAGCAAGAAGAGAAGCAGAGGCTGAGAATGAAAAAGGAGCAAAAAGGAGAGAAAAAAAAGCTTTTGTGACAGTCACTTCTGGCGCAATGAGAAAAAACAAAAGGCTAAAGATATTTACTTTCATTGACTACTTAATTAGGTAGTCTGTTAAAAAATGCTGTACTATTCAGTATTCAGATTTGGTAAACAATAATTATTATTATTAACGTTAGCAAGCTCAGAAAGGGAAAAAAATATGAAGGTAGTGTTTAGTATCTAGAATTAGTAGCGGCAGATTTTTATTTAGTCTATATTAGAAGTCAATAAATAAGGTAAATAATGAGGTATAAAGTGATTTTTTGTTTAGAAAGTAGGAAGTTAGTATATTTCAGGAGAAAAACAATGGAATTGAATTACACAGAACTTTACAGCACAGAAACAGATCTTCCTGCCGACTAATCCTTGCCAGTGTTTGGACTCCAGCAAAGCCTCCACCCTTCTTAATCCCCGTTCCTATGCTCCTCTATTTCCCTCTCCCACATGAATCAGTTTCCTCTTAAATACTTTGATGCTTTTGGCTTCTGTCATGGACTTCCTCCCACACTACCTTTTATACCCTCTAGTAGCTATTATATTTTTAAGTACTTGTAGCTCAGTAGCTCAAGTGGAAACTGTGTATTAAAATTTAGCCCACCTTATTGAATTTTTTAATAAATTTTAAAAGCCTCTCTCAGGTCCCATCTCAATCTTCTCATCTCCAGAAAGAAAACCTCCAAACTTTCTTGATAACCATATCTATTTATCATCCAAGTACATGTACACTGCACTGTTTACAACAACAACAACAACAAGATTCCATTTATTGAGCGCCTTTCACGTCGGGAGGACGTCCCAAGGCGCTGTACAGTTGGGTCAGGATCTGAGCAGGGGGGAAATGGTCAGGGTGAGGGGAGGGAAGGGAGGGAGCGAGGAGGGGTAGAGAGTCGAGAGGGGAGCTGAAGGCACGGTCAAAGAGAAAGGTCTTGAGACCGGCCTTGAAGGAGGAAAGGGAGGAAGCGGCGAAGGCACTGGGGGATAGAGTTCCAGAGCCTCGGGGCTGAGAGGCTGAAGGCCCGGCCACCGATAGTAGGGCGGTTGGGGCGGGGGATGTGGAGCAGACCGGAGCCAGAGGAACGGAGGGTACGGGCAGGTAGGTAGGGGTATAGTAGGTCGGAGAGGTAGGAGGGAGCAAGGCCATGAATGGCCTTGTAGGTGAGGATGAGGATCTTGAATTCGATCCTCTGGGGGATGGGGAGCCAGTGGAGGCGAGCGAGGGTGGGAGTGATGTGGTCCCGAAGCCTGGTGCGGGACAGTACACGAGCTGCAGAGTTCTGAATGACCTGCAGCTTGTGGAGGGAGTGCGGGAAGGCCGGCGAGGAGAGAGTTCCCATAGTCCAGCCTTGAGGTGATAAAGGCGTGGACCAGAGTTTCAGCAGCGTGAGGGGTGAGGTAGTGCCGTAGTCTGGCGACATTCCGGAGGTGATGGAAGGTGGTGCCAGTTGTGGCGCGGATATGGGGGGGGAAAGGACAGCTCAGGGTCGAACAGAACCCCGAGGTTCCTGACCGGCTTTGAGAGGTGGAGAGTGCAGCCTTGGAAGCTGATGCTGTCAGCGCCTGAGGTGCGGAGACGCTGGCGCGAGCCAATCAGGAGGGCCTCTGTTTTGCGCACGTTGCGCTCGTTGAGCTGGAGAAAGTTTAAGCGTTGGAAGCATAGAAACATTGTGTTAAATGTTTTCAAAAAGGAACTGGGAGCTTCCAATGATATTTCATTCTGGCCCATTTCACATGTCTACAAAGTCATTGCTTCCAACAGTGTTGCATTGCCTATCTCAGGGAGTTGCTGGCCTTCACATGAGATAAGCTAATTATGTCTGTTTCCTGGACAGGTCAGCAGCAACAGGGGGTCACAGTGAGTTTGGCTAAACAAGGGTTTCACAAACATAATAGCAGAAATTCAATGCACGATATGCGGCACAGCTCAGATTCTCCTCAATAGGAAGTCATTTGAAGAAAAATACTGTTCCATATGGTTGATATTGTTTCACTTATTTTGGTATAATTATAATAATAATAATCCTTGCGTTTGATATAGCGCCTTATCATGTCTTCGAGACATCTCAAAGCGCTTCACAGAATATACTGTAAAGTGAATTGACGGTATGTTTTGTGGGCAAAAGGCGGCAGCCAATTGCGCACAGCAGCATCTCACAAATAGATGTGGATTGAGTGACCAAATTTTTTTTTGAGGGGATTATTAACCCACCAGAAAAGCAATCCGCCAAACGACTAACAACCGGGTTCCTACTTACTGCTCGGTAAACGTAGGCGTGTGGAGTAAGGAAACTTGCCCAAGGTTTTGACTTGCCCAGGAATTGAACCCGGGTTCTCTCACCTGTGAGGCGAGTGCTCTAACCACTTACACTACAGGCGTCCAAATTAATGATTACCCTTTGCTGTTATTTTGGATTATTTTAAATAAAACAATTTAAAAATAATAGTGCTGAGATGTCAGGTGATAGCAAAATCATTAGCTGTATCAGCTCCCATATACCTGGTTAACAATCCCCTAAATAAAATTGATCACTCACTCCAAAGCTCTCGTGGGACATTGCTGTGCGGTGGCATTTGCCTACAAAATACAGTCACACCGCTTTGCAGTATATCCTGTGAACTACTTCTAGACATCTCGACGACGTGTTGAGGCTTAAATCAAATGCAATGATTATGCCAAATGGCTATGATTTGCCTCATAAAGCATTGCATAATTACAAGGGAGAAAAATGCGTTTCCAAAGTACTCTAAAAAGCTTTTTAAAAAATTATTTATTTGCTTGCTGATGGTTTGCACAAAGAATTTCAGCCCTGTGAAATCCACGAAAAAGTACCAACTGAAGACTGCAATGCAGAGCACCCCAGCAATGGTTGAAAAAGGTAGGAATTCAATACACATAAATGCAAGATACTGCATATAGGAAGTAAAAATAGGAGACACACATATTCCCCGGATAGGATGTGCCAAGGGTGAAGCTGAGACACCCAAGAGAGCCAATTGATTCATCGGTAGCTTGGGAGAAGGAGGGAATCAGTGATATTTTTAATGTAATAATAATCATTGCATTTCGTGTAGAGCCCTGCTACATGGCCTAGATGTCTCAAAGCGCTTCACGGGATATACTGAACTGTAAAGTACAGGGACAGTGTATTTTGTGGGTGAACTCTGCAGCCAATTTGTGGACAGCAATGTCCCACAACAGTTTAATGTATCATCTGGAGGACAAAATAAGTGGGGTGTGTTTGAATTGTGCACAAATTGGCTGCAAAGTTCACCCCAAAGGAGCAGAGCACTTACCTGGTGTTAGCAAAAATAGGGTATAATAGGGTAAGATTGATAGATTTCTCTGAGATTGATAGATTCCTTGTAGATAAAAGGATTAAGGGATATGGGGATAAGGCAGATAGGTGGAGTTAGAATAGATTAGCCATGATCTTATTGATTGGTGGGGCAGGCTAAAGGGGCCGAATGGCCTACTCCTGCTCCTAATTTTTATGTTCTTATGTATACCTCTAAAACCATGAGGAGCATTCAGGAATACACTGGTGACATTAAAATGGCAGGTGCCAACCACAAGAGGAATCTCAGACACCCAGAGCAATTAAATATAATGGAATCAGGCCTGGAGGTCCTCACCAAAAAGGAGATACAAGATCTGATAGAAATCAATACTGTTTGGTGCACCATGTCAGTCTGTATTTGTGATGAAAAATGTTGCAGAACAAAAACCTGTATTGATGAAAACTTGACAGAAAACTTGAAAGCTTTTGTCTTTTCCAGAGCTAACAATGAAGCTGTTAACAGGTTGTTGCTTTCATGGCATTTGAAATGAAGGAGCTTTATTTAGTCACGTATGGAAAGATATTCAAAAAATACCCAAAAAGGCTCTCACAGAATTGCTTCACAGTCAAATGTGCTTCCCCATCCGAATGCAAAAGTTGCTGTAAAGAAGAATAGCCATGATGTAACTTTCAAATCCCAAAGGCTGGGCCGCGTGAAATCTTTGGTACTAGCAGCATTCTGAGCAGGAAGAGCAAAACATATTCTAGTAAAAAAACAAATGATCAGCTTCCCGTGATACCACTGCTCACATGGCTCAAGCTGTACGATGCTCTGGTCACCATAACCACCCTAAAGGGAGGTTCCCAGCCCTGCAGACAGGGCAGAGGAGAACAAGGAGAATTGATCCCCAGTGCTACAGCGATGATAAGATAGGGTTCTTCAGCTTTGACCAGAAACGTTTCACGGGAGAGCTTATAGATTTCGATAAATCCAGAACAATACTTTCATGTACCAAGATAAGAATCCAGCTTCAGGGTTATGAAGGGCAATTTTATGTAACAATTCCCAATATCTATCACCATATAGGAGGCCTGTAGCTCAGTGGTTAGAGCATTCTAACAAGCGAGAGACCTGGGTTCGATTTCCGGCAGTGTGAATGCTTGGGCAAGTTTCCTTACTCCACACGCCTGATAATGAACCCTCAAGAAAAAAAAACGATAATAAATTGATCAGTTCAATCCACGACTGTTTGTGAGATGCTGCTGTGCACAATTGGCTGCCGCATTTCGTCCACAAATATACAGTCAATTCACCTTACAATATATTCTGTGAAGCGCTTTGAGGCATCTAGAAGACGTGATAAGGCGATATATCAAATGTAAGGATTATTATTATTAGGAATGGACCTTGCAACAGTGTCCATTTGTTTTCTACATTTAAGAATTATATATAACTTCAAAGTACAAGCGAGAGATTTTGCCACTATATCGTGGCTTATGGTCATCTTCAGGAAGAACAGCTGACACGTAGCTCTCTAGCCCACAAAGGCGGACGACTAGAATAACCTGCTTCCTCTGCTTCTCTCTGCTTGTGAAAAGGATGGCGCAAAGTCTTCTGCAGAAGGTGAACCTGTTATACAAAACAAGTAATAATTCTGATTTGTCATAATAATTCGTAAGCCACAAATCCAGTAACAGACCGCGCTTCCTTAACCAGTAAATATCAGTAGTATTACCTCAGAAAAATCATCTCTCTCCGATTTCTTGATTGCAGACTCTGCCATCCAGTTGCGGAGAACGTACCTTGGGTTGGTACCTTTAACCAGAAAAAATAAGGGCCTTCAAACAGGGTTATGCTTCATGGCCCCCTATCTGCCCCTCCATCACCAGGCTAGCATTCTGCAATTCTGACCCACTTTCTGAACTCCATCCCAGAGTCCCCGACTTGTTCCCTCCCTCCACTCGTTCAAGGCCCCATCTCACGGCATAAGTCTTTGATCATGCTTCAGTCAACTTTCTCCTCCCAACACCCTTCGGCACCAAGCCCCAGCTCAAGCATCTCAGCCACCAGTGTCAAGTGCTTTGAGACATCCTTCGGATGTGAAATGTACGATACATATGTAAATTGTATTGCATTGACATATACACGTAGGTCAAATAGTTGCACGTTCAAACCATTGGAAGAAAATAATCATGCAATATGCAGCCTAAAGTAAGAGAGCAACTTAAAAATATACTTACTTTTCATTCTGAATCTCCTTGCCTTATCTGAATCCTTATCTGAGTTCCTACAAGAAATATTTGTTCAGATCAATGTTTTCAGTAAATTACATTATCCGGTTTTTTTTGCAGTGGCAGTGGGACCTTTATTTTACTTTTAAAAATGTTATATTGAAAATGTCTCCTTTTTTCCTCCCTCTGTAGGTCACTTTATGGTGTGGAACATTTTCCACCATATTAAATGTTTTCTGCACAAGCAACCTACACCGAGGCCTCCATCATTGCTGCTCTGTGACTCACATCTAACTAATCCTCTGATTTTCCTTTCTCTGCATCAGGAAATAGCTACAACACAATAAAGACTGGGTATTTACATAGACTTTGCAAATTTGTCACCTACTAATCATAGAAATGTGCAGCACAGAAGACCATTTGGCCCATCATCCCATAACTTCATGAACTTTCACCCATGGACCTCCATATCGCTACACAACAACAACTTGCATTTATATATCTCCCTTTACACAGGGTAGCTTCCCGGAGCACTTGACAGTGGCGGAGTCTGACCCCGAGTCAGGGGAGAGGGAGGGGGGAGGTGACAGTAAGCACGATCAAAAAGGAAGGACTTCAGGCGGGATTTGAAAATCAGGAGGGAGGGGCAGGGCGGAGGGTTTGAGGGAGAGAGTTCCAGAGTTTTTGGGTGTAGTGGCTGAAGGTACGGCCAGCAATGGTGGAACGGAGGGGAAAAGCTATGAACAGGATGCTGGAGCCTGCTGAGCGGAGGCAGTGGGTGTGGGAGTGGACGGTAAGCAGATTGGATAGGTAGGGAAGTGCGAGGGCATGAAGGGATTTGAAAACGAGTGAGAGGATCTTGAATTTGATTCAACAACAACAACAAGATTCCATTTATAGAGCGCCTTTCACGTCAGGAGGACGTCCCAAGGCACTGTACAGTTGGGATTGGGAGCCAGTGGAGCCTGGCAAGAACTGGTGTGATGGGGGTACAGAGTTTTGTGCGGGTGAGAATCGGAGTTCTGAATTAGTTGTATATTGTGTATGTTGGAGTTCGTTTTCAAATCCCTTCATGCCCTCGCACTTCCCTATCTTTCCGACTTGCTCGCCCTCGATTCCACCACCCGCTGCCTCCGCTCGCCTGGCTCCGGCCTCCTGTTCATCCCTTGCCCCCTCCGCTCCACAATCGGTGGCCGTGCTTTCAGTCACCACGCCCCGAAGTGCCGGAATTCTCTCCCCTAATCCCTCCACTTTGCCTCCTCCCTCCCTCCCCACTTTCAAATTTCACCTAAACCCGTTGCTTTTTGATCATGCTTACGGTCATCTCCCTCTCCCTTTGGCTCGGGGTCACACTATGCCACTGGTAAGTGCTCCAGGACACTACCCGGCATGAAGGCCACTGTGTAAATGTAAGTTGTTGTTGTTGTATACACATGTGAGGAATATAATAATAATAATAATATAATAATAATTATCCTTGAGCTCTAACCACTGAGCCTCAGGACTCCACATTCTGACATTTTAAGAATTTAGCAATTAAAAAATAATTCATCCCACAACACTCCACGGACCCAGGCCAGGCAAAAGCAAAGTGTTATTTAAAGAAAGCCTAAAGCCCAAAGATATTGCTGTACTGTCTACCAAATATAGCCCTGGCTACATATTTACAATGTGCAGAACAAAGTGAATAGGAACAGACAGGAATTATGTCTGGATCCAACATCCACCAGGGTTAAACCGACCTCCACAGGATTATACTGACCTCCACATCTGAAGTTGCTGTAATTGCAAAAGTGGATTATTGGATACAAAGATATAGAGATTAGTCTTGTTATAATGTGGGAAATGGATACCCACAAATGACTCTAAAGAATACAGAACAACACACAAATATCCTCACCTCTTCAACCTGGACAGATACAAATTAACCCAGTGGGAGAAGAATTCATGTCTTCCAAGCTGTTGAAGAGCCCAGAATTCCTAGACCAAAATACAATTAAGCCTTCTACGTTAGAATCTCTATGTTTAATGTAAAAAAAAGTAGATAAATTGCAATTCTTTTTTCAAACTATTTTATGAAAACAAATAAAATCTTGAAAGCATAAGTAAATAGATTAAATTTAAATGATGTTTCAAACAATAATAATCCCTGCATTTTTAATATAACACCATATCGTATCGAGAATGTCTCAAAGCTCTTCAAAGGAATTTGTTTGTTTGAATACAGCAGACAATGTGCGCGTAGCAATGTCCCACAAACAATGACAAAGTGCAAGCAAAAGTCAAAATGATCTGGAGATTGTTGGCCAAAACACTGGAAGAAACTTGCTTCTTTTTTGAATAAAAATGTTTAACATCTATTCCTAATCCTTACATTTGGTATAGCTCCTTTCATGTCAGGATGACTTCTCAAAGCACTTCATAGAATATACTGTAAGGTGCAGTGACGGTATGTTTGTGGGTGAATGTGGCAACCGATTTGTGCCATGAAGTTAATGACCAATTTGGGGTGATTGTTGGCCAAAACACCGGGAGAAACTCCCTTCTCTTAATAATAATAATAATCCTTGCATTTGATATAGCGCTTTTCATGTCAGGAGGATGTCCCAAAGCGCTTCACAGAACACACTGTAAAGTGAATTGACTGTATATTTGTGGGCGAACGCAGCAGCCAATTGCGCACAGCAATGTCACACAAACAGTCGTAGATTGAAAATGACCAATTTAATTATTGTTTTTGGTTTTGGAGGGATTATTATTAGGCGTGTGGAGTAAGGAAACTTGCCCAAGGTTTCGCCCCCTGCCTGGAATTGAACTCAGGTCTCTCACTTGGAAAGCGAGTGCTCTAACCACTGAGCTACAGGACTCCACTCTTTTCAAATAGTGCCATGGGATCTTTTAAAGTCTACCTGAACAGCAGAAGGGACCTCGGTTTAACATCTCATCTGAAGGACCACATCTCTGATGGCACCACAGCACTGCAGTGGATTGGCAATGTACACTATGAGCTCCAAGTCCCGATGTTGGTCTGGAACCCAAAACTTTCTGACACCCTAAAGAAGATATTCTAACATTTGGTTTAATCCTATTCTATGCCTAGTCTCACACCAAAGAGTAGCATAGAGTTTGGATTCTTAATTTGGAAAATATGTGTTATTATTGTTGATACTGTTTATATTTTTTAAAAATGTATAGGATTCCATAAAAAATTGTGTGCAATTTAAATTAATTATCAAGCAACTTTTTTTTGTGTGTATCTGCATAATTGAAAATCACAAAGGCTTATATTAAAATGAATTGTGGGACACACAAATGATTTGTTTGAGTTTCTCCAGGAAGAGAATTTGGTAAGTTCTGTCCCAGCGATGGAGTACATCTGCCTATTTTTACTTCCAGATGCTGCACTTTGCATTTACCTGTATTGAATTTAATGTGTCGAGGACCAACCTAGATGTGTGCCCTGTTGAATTTTCTGTACGATCCTGGCTGCCTCCTTTATTTATTCTCCCCGTCTCAACTAATTGCTTAAGCCTCCTCCCACGTGCAAACCAATACCAAGGATTCATGATAAGAATAATCCTTACATTTGATTTTGCGCATTTCACGTCAGGGAAATGTCTGAAAGTGCTTCACAGAATTCATTGTAGTGACTATTTTTGTAGGCAAACAACCTCAACAACCGCACAGCGAATGATCAATTTTATTTGGTGATAGTCATATCACGGTGGGACGATAAACCAGCACAGGTCCAGGGTTGTGAAGATCAATTTTAGCCAATTTCTTTCTTTGCATCATGGTTAATTAGCAGCTGTAACACTTTACTGGGAAGATGTGAGAATAAATGGGTCAAAAGTTTTTGCACTTGTGATCTCTGGTGAATGCAGTTACTAGAGTTGCAACATTTTGTAAAGAATTTCTAATGACCTAATAATAATTTCTAATAACATTTACCTCTGGGATGTTGTTAAGCTCGAGTTGTTTGTGGGTAATCTCACTGAGATGGCGAAATAACATTGTAAAATCAGCTCTTGTATCTTCCATTAGCTACAAATATGAAAAATAAGCTAGTCAGTATATATGATATATAATAGACATTGTTGCTGCCTAAGGAAGAGGTATTTAGTAGTATCTGAAAGGGTTATGGAAGAAATATTACATAGGCCTGATCAGATATATTTTTAAAAACCACATGTAAAAACAAAGTAATTACAATTATCTCCAGACATCATTCAGGAATTATAACTGGGCATTGTGTTTAATCAGAGTCAGTTAAAGAGGGTTTAGTTTGAGGATTATCATTATAAATTTAAAAAGGAAGATTAGAAGAATTTTAGCTGTTAGAAGACTTTACCAGAAATGGCTGTCAAAGCTAAGTCCATAAGAACATAAAAGGGAATTGAATAAATACATGAGGAAAAACATTAAAGGGTTTGAAGAAAGAGCAAGGGAGTGAGATTAGAGTAGAAAGCTTTAGTGGGAGCTAGCACCACATGATAATAAGTAATGTTAAAACTAGTCAGTGTAATGAGCATGTGTAGACAGTAAATATTCACCTTCAGCAAGTATGCAATCAAATAATCATCACCACTTTCATGTCCAAACAAGCCCAATTTAGCTCCGAACAACTCCTGGAATCTAACAATTGGATAGAAAGAAATCGCTTGAATACACGTCAGCAATCAGGCCTTTGAGGCAAATTCTCAAATGAACTGTCATGTCAACAAGGCCAGTTTCAACAAGCAGCATAGCTGTAAATGTCAGCAAGGCAAAAACGTGAGAGAGTGCAAGCTCTGGCAGAGACACAAGTCTCTTTCAGTGCTTTGGGACGTCTTCCCGACGTAAAGGATGCTCTATAGATGTAATTTTGTTGTTGTTGCTGTTGCGACCTGTGAACATCATAGAATCCTACAGCACAGTTGGAGGTCATTAGACCCCACGTGCCTGTGCCAGCTCTTCGAAAGAGCTATTCAGCTAGTCCCACTCCCCTGCTCTTCCCCATGGCTCTGCAATTCTTTTCCTTTTTAAGTTCTTATCCAATTCCCATTTGAAAGCTACAATCGAATCTGCTTCCATCACCCTTTCAGGCAGTGCATTGCAGACCATAACAACTCTCTGGGTAAACAAAATCTCCTTGTCTCCCCTCTGTTTCTTTTGCAATTATCTTAAATCTGTGTCCTCTGGTTACTGACCCACTCGCCAGAGGTAAGTTTCTCCCTATCTGCTCTATCAAAACCCCTCATAATTTTGAATTACCTCTATTAAATCTACTTAAATCTAATATCTTCCACTTGGGTGGGTGAAAATCCAATATAGTGGAATGGGATTCAATGACGTCTCTCCTTTCAGCCCACTGTAAGCCTTGAAACAAGCAGCAACGTGAAATGCTGTAAGAGAAGCTTCCTTATCCCATTAACATTATGACAATCCTCACCCCCGTCTTCAAATCCCTCCACTCCTCTGCACCCCCCCCACCTCTCTGACCTCCTCTCTCCTCACAACAGTGCCTGTTGCCTTCGCTCCTCCAGGTCTGGCCTCCTCCTTGTCCCCCGAGTCATCCGCTCCACCCTCAGCGGCCGTGCCTTCAGCCACTGCGCCCCGAGGCTCTGGAACTCCCTTCCTCACTCCCTTTGCCTCGCTCCCTCTCTTCCTACTTTCAAGTCTCGGCTGAAGACCTTTCTTTTCGACCGCGCCTTTGGTCACCTTCCTCCCCCTCCCCCTGGCTCAGCCCCGGGATCCGTTACTGTGAAGCGCTCTGAGACGCCGTCCAGCGTGGAGGGCACTATGTAAATCCAAGTTGTTGTTGTTGTTGTTGACAAGCATTCAGCTGGGAGGAGAGGGTTAGCTATACAAATGTAATCTTGTTGTTGTTTTAATTAATTAATTCTCTGATGGACCCCTTTAACCTCTGTAAGGTAAGAAAGTACTGTTGTTTACAATTTTTTTTAAAACTCAGATCACAAGATTACTTCTTTTTATACCTTGAATCTGAATCCATAACATCACTTAACTTATCTTTTCAACCGTGCCTATGGTAACCTACCACTCCCCTTTATCCTTTGCTTAGCACCTTACCCGTCACAGTGAAGTGCTCCGAGACATTATCCTACATGAAGGGCAGAGGTTCCAAAGTTAAAACATCCTATTTTCATCACATTATCTGAGTGAAAAATGAGTGCTAGATGTCTTTAGGCTGTTAAATTCAGATTGGAAAAGACTGAAGCTTGGGCTTTGTTAGTTGTTATTAATAAATGCTTAATATTTGAGGGAAAATTTATGTTCAAGGATACGGGGAAAGAGTGGGGAAATGAGATTAGTCAGCTCCAGTGAGAAAGCCAGAACTAACACAATTAATTCAATGGCCTATTTCTGTGCTTTAAACGTTCTAATATTCCTCTTGAACTTCCACATTTCTCTCTTTATCCATTGATCATTAGCAACTAGTTGTGGGCGGAAACCTCAACTCATTGTGCACTAATGAAACTTAATGTGGCAGAAATTCTCACCCATGCTTCTCACAATAGATCTGCAAGCCAGTATGAGTCAGAGGAAGCAGAAATAGAGAGAAAAAATCTCAGGAAACATTGAAGCAGAAAACAATATCTCTGATGTACCTTTGCAAAGCCCAGTTTAAGTTTTCCCAAAAGATCTTTAACACTCATTTTTCACAAACATTATATGATGAAAATAAAATGTTTTGCTTGTAATAGCCTTTGAAGCTCTGCCTCTTTCACTTTGGGGGTGGCTTTCACAATTAGTTTTAATGTGCCCTAATAAGCTACATTCTCTCATCCGCCCCTGAAGTAGATGACTCATCATCAGTGACCGAAACCATAATAATGTTGGGACTAATTCCCCAAACATGCAAAAACAGAAGACAATGCACAAAATGATTTGAGATTTAAGTGCTGAGAAGCATCACAATTGTGAAACCATCTCCTTAAGAAGGCGACTAAGCAGGACTTTCCCACAGCAAACATCTGCTGGAACACGCACGAGTTATGTGCTCAGCTAGAAGCTCAATGCATCTGAGTGCATCAATGCCTCAAATACATCTTATTGACTAAATTATCAAAATTTGTATTCAAATCTCCTCTGATAGCTGCAATAAAAAATAACATACTTTGTCTGATAAAGATCAGGGTACCCTTTCAGAATTTGTTGAGCCCTGGAAAACAAAGCAAAAATTCAAGTCAAATACCATCTTGATATTTACAGAAGCTACAAAAACAATTTACATTTATACAAATCCTTTAACATAAAAGAAACATCTCAAGGTGCTTAACAGAATGAGATTTATTTTAAATTAAGTGAATGTTGGTATAGAGGGAAATGCAGCAACTAAACTGTACCAACAATGTCCATCAAACAAGATGAGTGATCAATTATAATAATTTATTTAGTAATAATAATACATAATCCTTTCATTTGATATGGCGCCTTACACATCCGGAGGACGTCTAAAAGTGGTTCACAGGATACACTATAAGTGTAGTGACTGTATTTTGTAGGTGAACGCAGCAGCCAATTTGCTCACAACCAATAAGCGAATGAATAATTTTAATTGGGATGAGAGAACACGAGTATATAGAGAGAAGATAGAGATTGCTACCCAAATTTATTCTAAACCTAAACTAAATCACTCTTTCAAACAAGCAGACAAATAGTTTCCAGATGACTGAGATTATATAGGAAACTAACTTGAAAGAATTCCAAATTTTCAGATCAGAGGACAGGAAAAACAAGCTACGAATAGACACACAATAGATACATGACGGAAATGACCATTTGCAAACATCTGGCCAGTCTCAAACTTTTCCAAATGCAGTAGCTAACTATCTCCCTGTTCATTTTTTTGACACCCAAGAAAACTCGGTAAAACAATTTTGGTAAAACATGACAACTGGTGGGACTTCCTCTGCTGATTTTGTGGCCTGCAGCTTGTTCTCATCTCTGGATACATCTCTTCTGCACACCACTATTCATGTAACACAGATAGCATTGCTCGATTTTGGCATGTTATACATCATGTTATGTGTAAAATTACACTAGTGAGATGCTGCCTTTCTGAAATTCAGGCCTCAGAACACAATTTTTTCCCCCAATTTGGGTGTTTGGGGGAAAATGCTTTTTTGTTTTGCTTTGGAAAATGAAAAGTATTTTTTTTAAAAATAATGGCAACTTATCTTTTTAAGAAACCAAACAGTTAAAACTGATAGCGTAAAAATGTTTTTTTTACTACCGAGTTTGACAATGAGCAGAATGGGTGCCTTTTTCCTTAAATCAAGAGGCAACAAAACAAAAACATCCTTTGAGCTATTATGTGTTTCTTAAACAGGATTGAGGTTCTTCCTACTTGCAATTCTCAGTACACAAAGGAGGAAATATCTTGTATAAACACTTCTTGGGGCCTAATTTGCAGACAGGAAAATGCTAGCCTGGTCATTATATTGTGACTGGGGAAAAAAAACACTTTTTACATCCGGGAAGTTAGTTGGCACAGGAAGACGACTGCAAGAATTACTCACACCAGTTGTTGCTTGGGGTCCAATAAAAGATTCAGTGCCAGTCGCAGTTTGTCTAAATTATATCGCCCAATGTTGGCTTGGTTCCCAATTTCGTAAAGTGCCTCATCGTCAGATGCATTTGGTACAAAATCTGGATCAGGAAACATCAGAATTTGTTTTGCATTGTTATTAATAGAAAACGGAATTAATAGTACCTAAATATTATTTTTCTTCTATCTTTTAACCACAGGTTGGAGTAAAGATACTGGTTGTAGCACGTACAAGTTAAAAAGCACATTGCCATTCCTAAAGTAAAGCAAAATGTTCAAAGTCAACCTTTTATCTCTTACATCCCCTCAACTGATTTTTATTAACTAAATAGCTAAGTCCCTTTTGAATTTGCTGATACAATCTGCCTTGCCCCTTTTCTGGTTCATCTATTAACAATAATTACCCTTGAGTAGCACCTTATCATGTTGTTGATACGTCTCAAAGTGATTCACAGGAAATACTGTAAAATGGTGTGACTGTGTGTATTTTGTGGGCCAATGCGGCAGCAAACAGCCATGGACTGAGTGACCAATTTTTTATTTTAGGCGATTGTTGGAAGGAACATTGTGAGAAACTCCCTTCTCTCTTCAAATAGTGCCAAGAGATCCTTAACGTGCACCTGGACAGGAAACAGGACCGTGATTAATGTCCCATCCACAAGTCGGCACCTCTGCCTACGCAGCAAACCCCAGCACTGCATTGGAGCGCCAGCAAAGGCTGTATTGGTTCCAAGTCCTGACTCACGAGCAAGAGCACTACCAACTGAGCAAGGCTGACACACCATTCTACATATTCACCACTCTCTGAATAACGTAATTCAATCTAACATGTCACTTAATATGTATAGTAGTTAGCTGATTCAAAGTTCTACACTTTTAATTTCTTAAAGTGGGGCTACCAGAATAGGCTATTAGGAATCGAGAGAGAAAAAGGAGAAGAAAGGTGGCCCAAATTCAACCAGCTCTGACACCTCAAACTAGAACTCGGAATTTGACTGAGACCCTCAGTTCTAGCCACTAGAGAGTGGTAATTTCAACAGGTTTCCTGCATGATAAAAAAGACACTTACTGGGATCGTAGGAATCCATAAAACCAAATGGACCATAATCGATGGTAATAGAGAGTAAACTGAAGTTGTCTGTATTACACACACCTGACAAACAGGAACATATTGATCAACAAATGAAAAAAAGGCCAATTTACTCTTTACTCTTTACTATTTAAAGATTTGATAGAACAGATAGATAATCACATATTGAATGAATTCACCTTTTTAAAAATTAAGTATAGACGGTCAGTGAAGGTAATGGATTGTGCAGGGTCATGTCTATATCCCTACTGAGAGTTCACAATCTCAGCCTGATGTTGGGAGAGGGAAGTTCCCAGCACTAGACAGATGCTTTCTCACAGGCAGGCAGTGTTGGAAAAAATATCAGGATACTTTTGTACCTCTCTTGATGATTATCTTGAGATCAACCTTGTCAGCTATTCAAATCATTAGAAAACAGAATGCCGGTGGCAATAAATGGCAAGTGAAAGACCATATAGAACCTTTAAAATATAAGTTAGCCTGAGACATTTAAAGATTAAATCTTTAAATAGATTTTAACATAATTTTTCACCTATAGTGTTTTCTCTACTAAACCCCCGCCCACCATCTTTTTGTTTCTGTAAAACCAAATTCAGAATTTGGAGCTTTTACTCTCTGAAGCATCCCCACTGCTCTTCTCTGAGCCTTTTTTAATGCTTGAATGTATTTTCAAGAATCTGTTTTGATCAGCCAGGTGTCTGACAGCAATCTCCATATTTAAGAGTATCCAAACCAGAATGAGAGTTCCACATATCTAGGCCACCCGCACATGGAAATTTCCCATGGGTTGGGATACACAGTCTCTCCCTGGAAGGATACATTCTGTTTACTTAATTCTGGAGAGTATTAGGTGCAGATTACTCTCCACACACCACCATCAATTCAGGCTCCCAGTCAGCTGCACAAAGCACTTTGACGTGTACTCCCAAAGCAAAAGGCGCTATATAAATATAAATTGTACTCAAAGAAATCCAGTAGAATCATCTAACTGGGAGTATTATATTAATGTCTAGATGGGACCTATTTCTGGAGAATCATACCATGTGCAAATCCCACTGACATCCAATTTGCGATGAGATGTGAAGTATCAGTCACAACTCGGGAGAAAAAGTCCTGCAATAACAAAATGCCATCACATTTTCCCAAATATTGTAAGATTAACGACAATTGTGTTAACAGCATTCACATTGTTTAGATTATAAAATTGTTCATTTGATAACATACCAGATATCTGTCCTGATTGGTCATGTTTATAAATGGAAAGTGTTCTTTTATAATAAAATCCACCAGCTTCCTGAGCAAAAAAAAAGGAATAACATACAAACTAAGACAGAAGTAAATAAGATGGTGAAAAAGCAACATGAACATTAACAAATGTTTAATGAAGACAAAAAGGCAATCTAGGAGGAGTATTGAAATATTTCAATTAAGTGTCCTTGTTTCAACTCGACAAAGTGACAATTACTTCAAACAAATCCATTTCATATTGATTCTTGCTCATTTTCTCCGAAGGATGCCGGGTGCCATCCATTCCACGGATACCAACAACAACAACAACAAAATTACATTTGTATAGCGCCTTTCATGTCAGGAGAACATCCCAAGGCGCTGGTGCATTCAGGCACTTTATCCAAGTTGCTAATCTCTATATCCACGCTTAAACTCCAGATTTGGGGTGGGGGGGGTAGGGAATCCTGCCTAATGTTTCCCCACTCTAGCCCGGGGGTTGCTGAGGCTAATTGTAAAGCTCCAACTGTGGCCCTCACTGAGATTCTGGTTACTTAATATACAGTATATTCTGTGAAGCGCTTTGGGACGTCTAGAAGACGTGAAAAGCGCTATATCAAATGCAAGGATTATTATTATTATTATTAGATTAGCAAATTCAATTTCAAAACTTGCAGTCCTGTAGCACCCTTCACACAGGATAATGTTTCAGAGCACTTCAGTTTAACGCCTCATCCAAAGTAGCTGAACTACTTTCATGGTTCAATTGTGTTTATCATCCCTCTTCTGAACTGGAGTCTGACGCTCTTATTTATAGCATTATATAATTATACATATTTATATACCCTTGTATATTAAGCATTTTATTGGGGGTTTAATTTATGTATAATCTCTATGATCTTAAAAACTTGAAAAAGATCTTCCCTGAATTTTCTCTTCTCCGGAGTGAACCAGCCTCCCTCTGTGTTAGGTGCCTAATTACAGCCTTTTAGTTGCCCGTCACTGTACCCTGTCTAATGGCATGTTTTCCATACCGTAACCTGGCAATCAGAAGTGTATGCAGTACTCAATAACAACAACAATTTACATTTTTATAATGTCTTTCACATTGGGAGGACATCTCAAAGCACTTCACATAACTGAGTGGGAGCCCCAGCTCCATACAGCATGGCTTCCTGTGACCTTTGTTCTGTTCTATTCCTGTTGTGGTGTGGGCAGGTGAAAGCCACATTGAAAGTTCTACTAAACTAAGACTGATTTTGCATTAATTACGTTGAGGCGAAATTATTATTATCATGATTTTCAACCTTTTTTATTTCATAGACAAAATATTCAACACTGTTACAGAACTGGTGACAGGCAGATAAAAGCAGTTTGATAAAGAGATTGTCCTGTGCAAGTTAGTTATTGCTTTGTGCTAAGCAATTCTTTCAACTCCCAGCCACATTTCACAAATGTTCCACTCAGGAAAGGAAACCAAAATGAAGTACTCCCTTTTACACAAATATCCATAGTGCCTTTAGCTTTGTTTTACTTGATAGCTATTTGGACATCTGTTCAAATACTGTTTAATTCAAACATTTATTTTAAAAATGAAGCACGAATAATAGGACCAGTTAGAAACAGCCAAAACAGGACATGTGAGCTCCAAACTACACGTACACAGCTTATTATACTAAAAAAAATCATTATTTATTAAAGTATTTGAGCAGGGCACAATTTTAGAGAGAAATATATTAAAGAATATGGTGTAAACTCTTCAGATGGCCTAGTGATTTAAAATCAAATAGCGCAGAGGAAAACTGTGTGCTATGTATCGTATTAAGGCAGTATTTCAAGGCAAAGCTGACAGACCAGCCAGTCTCGCTTGTTGGCAGGAGTTGGAGGGGTAGCTGGGTCAGACAGCCGTACACACCAAATTGTAGATTTAATTCTTGGTTGCTGCTAAGGTAGCAGATTGTCTGGCAACGATGTATTGTATTTTAAAAGTAGCTTTAAATTGTTGTACGTCAATGAAACGTTATCTTGTTGAAAAGCAACTGCAATTACCTTAACAATTCAGTCTCTCCAGAATGTGCTAGGATTTCTAGTGATCCAATCCGAAACCACGATTTAGCTACTCGAAGAACAACTGCCCCTTGAAGAAGATCCCATAGGCAAAACCACATTACATATCACATCACATTTTAACCATTAAGAAACTTTTTTTTAAATTCTGTTTAAATATAGGGATCTATTATTAGCGTGACTACCTTTTTCATTCTTTACATTTCCGTTGTAGAACTCGTCTCTCAACACATTATCGCCACTCACAGCGAGACTGCAGGAAATCGGTAAGATTGGGAAATAAATATCAGATGTTACTGCAAAATAGTTAGTCCATTACTAACTAAGAATTCCAGCTGAGTATTTTGCTTGCACTTTCAACCAATAATAGGAAAATAAGACATTCATTTTCAGATATCTTTTTAAGATCCCAAATGTAGCATGGGAAAGCATGACTTTTTTCCAAAAAGGTTGTCAGAGAGCAGGATGAATTTCAAGAGCTGACTGGTGGAAAAGACTCGAGTAGGACTTTTAAAAGGGAATCAAACTGACATCTGCACAGGAAGGAGTTCAGAGGTACAGGGAAGGAGCAGGGAAATGGATTATGATAGATGGCTTCATTGGAGGAGTTAGCACTGACACTAATGGCCTCCTACTGTTTCGTAGATTTCTCTGTCTTCATCACTCAAACTGTCGCAAGCCAGTTTGATTTGTCAAAAGAAAAGACCTAGAAATGGGTGATGTGTGAGGAGATCTGACTGATCTGTGGCAAAACACCTGCAAAATGCTGGGAAATGTGTTTTCCAATTCCTCTACAGGATTGCAACATTTTATAATCAGCCCTTGTGTTCCCTACAGCTACTTCTTCTTCCCCTATTGACCAGTAATAATGGTCAATAGTAATAATCATCGCTGTACCTTTTCTTCAGTGAATAATTATAGGAAAGGTATACAGCAGAACAAATGTTGGCTTCTCAGAACTAAAGGTCCTTAAGCCCCAGAACATCCACCTTCGTTCCTCCTCCAGACTGAAAAGTTATGCCGTCAACACATAAGTAGCAGAATATTTACCTGACTGCTCTAGTGGTAGGAATCCCAAGATAATGCATAGCCTCACTACACAGAAACTCCCGGACTGAAGAACGGAGAACAGCTCGGCCATCACCATGTCTGGCAAAATAGAGATCCAATCAGAAAGGATGGTAATAATCCAAATTCAATTCTAATTCACAATAAAAATGAATCCTTGTGTTTAATATAATGCCTTTCATATCAGGACATCTCAAAGCGCTTCACAAGATTTTACTGTAGAGTGTAGTGACTGTGTATTTTGTAGGTGAGTTCCGCTGCCAATTTGCATGCAGCAATAAAGCAATTTGCACAAACAGCCATGAAGTGAATTTATGGTCAACTCTGGAGGATTATTGGCCAGGAAAAATTCCTTTCCTTTTTCGAATAGTGCCATAGGATCTTGAACAGGACTCAATGCGGGGCTTGAACCCACAATCTTCTGACTCAAAGGTGAGAATGCTACCAATTGAGACAAGCTCACAACGCAATTACATTTATATAGCGCATTTCACATCAGGAGAACAACTCAAAGTGCTTCACACTACTGACTGACAACCGTGGAAGCTGGAGAGGGTAGGAAGGGGATAGATGACTGAAAGTATGTTTAAGGAAGTCTAGAGGCTGCTTTTGAAAGTGGGAGTCAGAGGAGCTCTGAGATAGAGTTCCAGAGAGTGGAGTCAGAATGGATGAAAGCTCACTCGCCAATAGTGGGGTGAATAGGGCAGGGGCATGAAGCAGGCCAGGGTATCGATTTATTTGATTTACCGAGAATATGGAGTCTTGCCTGAGCCTTTCAACTGGAGCTCCCATCGTGCCCCGTGCCTGTAAAATGAGAAAAAGATTTAACTCTGAGAAATCAATTTGTTTTCAATGAAGCAACTGATTGCTCTAATTGAATTGCTATTTCTTCCACAACGAATCCCTAAACAACAACTTGAACATTCAGCTTTAATTCTCCAAATAAACTCTAAAAACTGCAAAATAAATTCGAAAAACTACAAAGTAATTTCTCAGTGGAGACCTGTAGGGAAGTGGTTAGAGCACTCGCCTCACAAGCGAGAGGACCTGGGTTTGATTCCCAGGCACGGCGAAACCTTAGGCAAGTTATCCTTACCCGACATGCCTGTTTACCTAGCAGTAAGTGGGAACCTGGGCATTGGCGGGTCATTATCCGAGCGTAATAACCCCCTCAAAAAATAAATAATTTGGTCACTCAATCCACGACAGTTTGCGGGACACTGCTGTGCGCAATTGGCTGCCGCGTTTCACCCACAAAATATAGTCAATTCCTTTATAGTAAATTTAATGAAACGTTTGAGGCTTCTCCAATACGTGATAAGGCGCTATATCAACTGCAAGGATTATTATTGTACCACGTGCTTTATAAGGCAAGAAATCTCAGCCATGAAATCTACATTTCCTTCTAATCTATTGTATTTTACCTGTTAACATACTCGCCCAGCAAATGGGCTCTTCCATCTCCCAGTTGGCCAGACCAGACTCCAAACTGCATGAAGAGATAAAAAAAAATCATTTTGACCATTACATCTGCAGATCATGAGACCAGAATTCAATCGGAATTTTAAAATAAAGTTGCGAAGAGTACTACAATCATAACTTCATTTATTCACAAGTAAAATACACAAAACATAATTGAATAACATTCCATTAATAATATATAAAAAATAATCTTTGTATTTGATTTAGAGATTACAAAGTCCAGAACGTCTCAAAGTACAGCATTTCTGTAAAGTGTAGTGACTGTGTATTTGTATGCAAATGTGACAGCCAATTCGTCCCATAAACAGCTATGAAGTGAATAATCAAACTTTATCTGGAGGATTGTAGGCCAGTTCACACTGTCCTGACGTGTAGCTGTAACTCACAATCTTCTGTCAAAGAGACATGAGTGCTACCAACTGAGCCAGGCTGATACTTACAATTACAAGTTAATGAAGAGAAAACCTTCTCAGATCAGTGAATCAAAATTCACCTAAGACACACCTTGTTACTTAAAAATATTTTGATAAATGAAGCTTCCATACCTTCTTTGACCGTGCCTTCAGCTCTCCTCTCGACTCTCTACCCCCTCCTCGCTCCCTCCCTTCCCTCCCCTCACCCTGACCATTTCCCCCTTGCTCGGGTCCTGACCTAACTGTACAGCGCCTTGGGACGTCCTTCCGACGTGAAAGGCGCTCAATAAATGGAATCTTGTTGTTGTTGTTGTTTGTAATAAATCTCTCTCTGACTGCTCCATGCTGATATTAGTGCATAAAAGAAAAATGAGCCTTTTTGCTACAACTGTTGAGCACCAAATTCTTCCCCCAGAAGAAAGAAAATTGATATAATAATGTAAAATTTGTATACTTTTCAGCAAAATCCATGAGGAAATCTCACTTTACCTGATGACCACCATATCTATGAGCCATAGGCACTGATCCTGGCCTCACTCTCCCACCACTGACAAATTGAATGAACTCCTCCGTCTCTGCAACAGACACATCCAGGTCCAGCAGATCTTCCAAAACCTCCTGACGTAGAAATAAATGTAGATTTAAAGGCCAGTTGTGATTTTTAAAATGAATAGACAAGTCAAAATATTAATTTAATCTAGTGAACAATCTTAAAACAGAACTAGGTTGATCTGTAATGCCAAACCAGTGGCTATTGTCAGATTGAAGCTGCCTCATCATTTTTGCTGATTAAAAATATTTTCTTTTCTCTCGAAGTCATAATAATGGTTACCAGCATTTGTTATGTCCGGGCTTAACTATGCCAATGCTCTGCTCGACAGACTCCCCAATTCTTCCTTAAAATGCTGCAAGCTTTTCAGAACTCTGCAGCCCGTGTCCTTTCCTGCACCAGGCTATCATCTATCTCACGAGCTTACCACCCCCATTCTCACGAGCCTCTCACCTCAATCCTCGCTCGGCTCCATTGGCTCCCCATCTCCCAGCATATCAAGTTCAAGATCCTACTACTCAACTCTAAATCATGATTTCATAGTCTCACCCCACCCTACCTCTGAAACCCTATCAACCCAGCTGTTCCCTTTACTCAGCAGATTGAATGAACTTGATTCGTGACTGCTGCTCTATCCGTCCCACCATCAGCAGGCAAGCTTTCAGTCTTTCTGTCCCCAATCCATCTTAAGTCCCTCTGACTCCATCTCTTCATCAGTTCATTTACGGTCCATCTCAAGACCCACCTCTTTGACCGTGCTTTCGGTCATCTTTCCTCTCCCCAACCCAATTACCACACTCAGTTTGGGTGATCAGCCAATGCTGTTGTCCGCTTTGGGACGTCCTCCCAACATGAAAGACAATTTTTTTTTACAAATGTAAATTTGTGTTGTATTGCAGAGTCAGTGTTCACAAAATAACTATTCTTTCCCAAAGTTCTTTAAATTTAACAACATCTATGTCAATCTCCCATTTTATATGGAGCGGATGCCATCCATGTATTACGTTCAGATGGTAACAGTGACAAAGCAACAAATAACATCATTAGAGCAAATGAGGATTGGTACCCTCAAACTGCAAACTGTACTTCTGGCTCTTGAATTGCGATCAAAAATGCTTCAGATTCAAGTGTTGGAATGGAACTGTCTGAATGGATAACTGTATATTTACTGCCACTTCCATATTCCTTATTCCACAAGAACGTCCTACTGCTACCCTCCATAGCAAGGATGGCCAACACATTAGCCACTGACCACATGTGGTGAGTTGGGAATCCAGGTGTGGCGAAATTAAAATTTTGATTAGTAAATAAAAAATGAATAACAGACACTGTCACTGGGCACGTGATGTCAATATTCATATTCGCATGGCGTACGTGTGTACTTAAGACATTTTTGTGCATTTGTTGGTAAAATGGTGTGACAGAAAGCAAGTGTGTTTTGATCATTGTGTGCCCTTTACTTCCTTATTGGTTATCTGCTAAAATAGGGTGTAACACAGGTGGCAATGCCGGATTTCAGCACCATGGAAACACCAGCAATATTGTATGAAGAGGGGAGCAGTCGATGATGGTCAGTTGAACCAATCAGAATAACAACTCCAGGCCAGCAGAAGAAAGCAAGCCCAGTCAATCACAAGCAGCTCCAACAGGGAAAGGCCAAATAGTGTCCAACCATGTTCTGGATGGAGAGCAGGGGCGGTCTCCCAAAAAGAGAAAACTGCAAAGCTTTGCGCTAAGTGGTGGTAATAATACTAATAATAATCCTTGCATTTGATATAGCGCCTTATCACATCTTCGAGGCATCTCAAAGTGCTTCAAGTGAATTGACTGTATATTTTGTGGGCGAAACTCTGTAGCCAGTTGTGTACAGCAGTGTCCCACAAACAGTCGTGGATTGAATGACCAAATTGTTATCATTTTAAAAAAGGCATTATTACCCCTGGCAAAACGATACCCCAATCGACTAACAACCAGGTTCCTACTTACTGCTGGATAAACAGAGGCGAATGGAGTAAGGAAACTTGCCCATTGTTTTGCCAAACCCAAGTCCTCTCGCTTGCGAGGCGAGTGCTCTAACCACTCAGCTACAGGACTCCACATTTATTAAATAAATGTTTGTTAAGTAAATATACATGTAAACAAACATGTGAAGTACATTTACCTGTATTATGTGAGTGTATATATTAAAATTAGGGTATGTGGCTAAAATGGTGTTGCCGTTGTCACATCTGTGGCTAGTCAGCAATTTCTATTGGACAACACTGCTCTACAGGAATCCTATTGTATTTTATGGTGTCTTTATATTCAAGACCACTTTCTGAGGTGAATGAAAATCCTGAAATTCCCCTCTCGTAGCTTATCTGCTTCCCGAGTAGAATATGTTGAACATCTTGTGGAGCCATCTCATTTCCTGATCGACAATCAAGAAGAAACTCCAGGTCTACTATCTGGTATCTGCCATTCAGACAGGATGCTATTGCAGACGGATACCTAGGACATCTCATTTCTTATCAGGAAATGAGAAAAATGAGGCTCCTGCATGTCTGACAAGCTTGCTTTGCACAGACTACAAATGCTTTGACAAATTTCAACAAAACAGACTAATGTTGCTCAGGTACAGTCTTTATACAACATAAAATATTCATAGAACCATATAAATTTACAGCATAAAAGGAGGCCATTCTCTCTCTGACATGTCTGCTCTGTCTCTTATAAAGAGCAATCCATTCGGTCCCATTTACCTGCCCTTTCCCCATATCCCTGTATTTTAATCAAAAAACAAATGACACAAAATCCTGGGGTGACTCTATTTGTCATGACTAAAGATTGCATTCCACTTTCTTTACGTATAAACTGTAATAAAATTAAAATGATTTGTGATCAAACAGTAACAGATATTTAGAGGCCTTTTGGGTTATTTTAGGTTCATTACTATATGCTAAAAAGCAATGCTAGTGCTCCTCCAATTGCCAATTGGGTAAAGGCAGTCTGGTGAACACTAAATCACATTGGACAACAACAAATTACATTTATATAGCACCTTTCACGTCAGGAGGACGTCCCAATGCGCTGGACAGTTAGGGATTTGGACCTGAGAGGGGGGATGGAGGGCAGGGGTAAGAGGGTGATCGAAGACGCGTTTGAGGAAGGTCTTGAGACGGGCCTTGAAGGCAGCAAGGGAGGGGGCGTGGAGAAGGGACTGTGGGCTGGAGTTCCAAAGGGTGGGTGGGGCAGAGAGGCTGAAGCCCCGATTACTGATGGTTAAAAGACCAGAAAATTGCAGTTTCAAATTCTGATCTGTGCTGAGTCAGCTGATCTTAACCAGGGGAGCAGTTTCGGATGTCATAATTGCCTTTACGGTCTGTGTTTAAAATACCATTGGAAGTGGTTAACTAATTTAATGGGTATTGGTTTTAATTTTTCTATTAAAAAAATACAAATTTCTAAATATGTAATTATAATGATCTAAGGTACATGCCGTGACAGTACAGGAATATATACCAACCTTTGACACTGCTACAAGTTTGACCGCAGACTTGAATGGTGCAGGAGCAACAGAAGAAAAAATACAACCTTTCACCCGGCGGATATAGTTTTCTCTGATGGGATCAAGCGGGAATGCTTCTGTGAAAAGATTTGTTTTTCATAATTAATATGAGTCAAATTGTGCCAGTACAATTCAATTAGCTCAGTTACCGTCCTTATCTCTTATTTAGAAACTAATAAACTTTAAAATGATTGGGTAGGCAGTACAGTGACTAATAACTTGGGTTTACATATTGATTGACACAGACATTCAACCTTGCTTAAAACCGAATTGTATTTTTACAGAATTTATATCAACAAACAGCAACAATAAATTACAATTTGTACAGCTCATTTCACGTCAGAAGGACGTCCCAAGGCACTGGACAGTCAGAGATCTGCCCCCGAGCTGGTGGTTGTAGGAGGGCGGAGTGGGTAGGGGTAGTAAAGTGACAGAAGGCACTTGTCGAAGAGGAGGTAAGCAACAAATTGCATTTCTCAACATGAGACTCAACAAATTCCACCTGGTTTTAGCAGAACCTGCAGGTAGATATCAGGGAGTTGGCCTCAACACTCATTTCCATATTGTGTGAAATGCACTTCAATGTAGACGGACATCAGACTGAGTTATGGATTCATATGACTCACATATGACTAATGTGTAACAAATGCAGATTCATCTCAGTGATATTGTTGGTGGGGATGAGCAAGATAGGAATAGAGAAGTCCTGAAGTGCTGAGTTTTCTTTTCATTAATAAACTGACAGAAAAGTGATTTTTGAAAATATGCCCATTTTTATTTTGTGGTGCTAAAATAATGCCTTATTGGCATTTGTTCTGTTTCAAAGTCACACAATTTTCACATACAAGTAAAATCTACCAACAACAAGATTACATTTGTATAGCGCCTTTCACGTCGGGAGGATGTCCCAAGGCGCTGTACAGAGTACAGCATTTCAGACCCAAGCTGGGGTTGGGGGCGTAAGGGAGGGGAGGGGAAGTGGGGTGGCCGATGGCATGGTCGAAAAGGAGGGTCTTGAGGCAGGACTTGAAGGAGGCTAAGGAGGGGAGAGGCGGAGTGACTGGGGGATGGAATTCCAGAGATTGGGGGCAGAGTGGCTAAAGGCTCTCCCGCCAATGGTGGGGCGGGGGACATGGAGCAGGCCGGAGCCGGCTGAGCGGAGGGTATGGACGAGTTAGTAGGGGGTTAGGAGGTCGCAGGTAGGGTGGGGCGAGGCCATGGAGGGCTTTGTATGTGAGGACCAGGATCCTGAACTGGATCTTCTGAAGGATAGGGAGCCAATGGAGTTGGGCGAGAGTGGAGGAGATGGGGTCACGGAATTTGGTGCAGGAGAGGACACGGGCTGCAGAGTTCTGGATTATCTGTAGCCTGTGGAGGGAGGAGTTGGGAAGGCTGACAAGCAGAGCGTTTGCATAGTCGAGCCTGGAGGTGATGAAGGCATGAACAAGAGTTTCAGCGGCCTGAGGGGTGAGGTAGTGGCAGAGTCGGGCGATGTTACGGAGGTGAGGGAAGGCAGAGCGGGTCATGGCTTGAATGTGGGGGAGAAAAGACAGTTGAGGGTCGAACAAGACACCTCGGTTCCTGACTGGCTGGTGAGTTGTAGTGTGCAACCATGGAGGTTGATGTTACCAGAGCCTGAGGTGCTGAGGCACTGGCTCGAGCCAATCAAGAGGGCCTCAGTCTTATTCACATTCAACTGTAGGAAATTTGCCCTCATCCAGGACTTGATGTCCGACAGGCAGTCTGTCAGGAAAGCAATGGACCTGGAGTTGAGGGTGGAGGCAGAAAGATAGAGTTACAAACTACCAGCAGCAGTTTGTAATCCGAGTTTAAAATGCCTAACAGGAATTCTGTTGTTGACTGCAAGTGAATCAATCTTGTATCGTATTTACTTTAAATAAATTTTCCGCAGTTGCAAACTATTAATTTTCAGATTTCAAACTCCGAGATAACCAAGCTCACAGATACAGATGCCTCTTAGGAACATAGGAACAGGAGTAGGCTATCCAGCCCCTCGAACCTGTTCCGCCATTCTATGGGATCATGGCTGATCTGTACCTCAACTCCAATTACCCGCCTTTGCCCCATATTCCTTGATACCCTTACCTAACAATTATCTATCCACCTGTCTTCCAGCATCCACAGCCTTTTGGGTGGAAGAGTTCCAGATTTCCACTACCCTTTGGGTGAAAAATTGCCTCCTAATTTCACTCCTAAATGGCCTAACTCTAATTTTAAATCTATTTCCTCAGATGGGATTCCCCCACCAAAGGAAATAGTTTATCCTTATCTCCTCTATCCAATCCCTTTATTATTTAAAAAAAACTAAATTAGATCACCATTCAATCTTCTGAACTTAAGGGAATACCGACCAGGTTTATGCAACCTGTCCTCATAACTTAACCATTTAAACCCTGTTATCATTCTGGTGAATCTGTGCTGCACCCCTTCCAGAGCCAATATAACTTCCTGAGGGGCAATGATGCAGGTTAACCATCTAAAATTATATAGCTTGCAATTGAAAGCACTGCCTGGCAAGCTTCTTGCTGCTTGTCCAGGTAGGACCACCTTACCGATTAGGAATTTGGCTTGCAGGGTTGCAGTAGACTACACATTTACACTTATACAGTGTAAATTCATGTTTATTCAACCTTATTCATGTTGGGGGCAATGTCCAACAGCACTGGCCAATTTAGCTTATTCAGCCCTGGCTGAGACCACCAAACTCAGCACAGATGTGAATCAGCACACTTCCAGTTCATAACAGGCAGTTGGGGAATGTAAGAAAGGTCTCCTTGGAGTTTAATTGGCTCCAAGATGATATGTTTGGCAACAAAATGTTGGAATTGAGTCAACCCTCTGTGGCGGTCTGGTTCCTGAGTCAGGCAGGTTTACAGTACCCCAGAACATTCCTGATGACAGATCAGTGAGTCCGGCTCAGTAGGACAAGGCGAGGCAGACTGGTCACTCGAGGCAATAGCTAAGAAGGAAACAAATCTTCAAGACATTCTTTAGTTTACATGAAAGACACAGATACAAGGAGTCGATCAATCCCAATCGCTGTACAACAACTTGCACTTATATAGCACCCTCCACGCAGGATAGCGTATCAGAGCGCTGTATAGAATAACCAACAAAGTTACATAAAATAATTTACTTTACCTATTAACTTTTGAGATGTAAATCTCCATAGATCCATGGAGGACTTTGTCAGGTTACTTTCACTGTAACCCAACTTTGTATTACTATGATATTGTCGCCAATCAAACAAACTACACTCAGGGCCATAAGGAGCCGTGGATTCTTTTCCTTGTCCTTGAGAAAGTGCCACACCAGCCGTTCCCCAAAACACCCAAATTTTCACCAGGTACCGTGGAAGCATACTTGCGGGCGGGGTTAAATCTATTCCTTTCACTCTTCGTAACAATTCCCCATGACGCACGACAACGTGCAATTTAAGACAACAATAATAATAACTCTTGCATTTGACAGGACTTGTAGATTTGCTTGAGTTCTGTTCCCTTCCATTTTGATGAACGCAGATTCGAGAGAAAAAAAAGCAGCAAAATATCTACCCCATTCCAGAGCTAATCGGGTAAAGATTCATTTTCTCCCTCTCCCCCGTTCCCCTGCTTTTTTTTTAATACAAAAAAAAAGAAGAAAAAAGCTTCAGGCTCAGGCAGGCAGCGTTCCCACAAGGAAGAGGAGAAACAAAAGGAAGTGAGAGCTGAGCCCGTTGACGTCGCTTCAAGTGGGCAACAACCTGGGTTAACTCCTCCCCGTCCTGGGAATGATTTAACGTGAGAGAGAATGTAATTTAGTTCAGTATCCAGTGTTCCGGGTTCAAATCCCTTCGCTCCCCGGCACCTCCCTACCTCCTCACCCCCCCCCCCCCCAATCCACCGCCCGGAGCCTCCGCTCGACCGGCGCCGGCCTCCCGCTCGTCCCTCGCGCCCTCCGTCACCCACCATCGGAGGTCGCGCTTTCAGCCCCTACGCCCCGAAACTCTGGAACGCTCTCCCTCAACCCCTCCGCCTTGCCCCCGCTTTCAAGTCCTGCCTTCCCCTTCCCCCTCCCCCCCAACCCGGCTCGGAGTCAGACTTCGGCACCGTTAAGCGCCCCGAGACCCTACCCCTGTGTTGGGGGGAGGGAAGGGGGAGAGGGGGGTAAGGAAGGAAGGAGGGAAGGGGGAGAGGGGGGGAAGGAAGGAGAGAGGGAAGGGGGAGAGGGGGGTAAGGAAGGAAGGAGGGAAGGGGGAGAGGGGGGTAAGGAAGGAGGGAGGGAAGGGGGAGAGGGGGGTAAGGAAGGAAGGAGGGAAGGGGGAGAGGGGGGTAAGGAAGGAGGGAGGGAAGGGGGAGAGGGGGGAAGGAAGGAGGAGGGAAGGGGGAGAGGGGGGAAGGAAGGAGGGAAGGGGAGAGGGGGTAAGGAAGGAGGGGGGGGGAGGGGGGTAAGGAAGGAGAGAGGGAAGGGGGAGAGTGGGGTAAGGAAGGAAGGAGGGAAGGGGGAGAGGGGGGAAGGAAGGAGGGGGAGGGGGAGAGGGGGTAAGGAAGGAGGGAAGGGGGAGGGGGGAAGGAGGGGGGGAGGGGGGAAGGAGGGGGGGGGGGGGAAGGAGGGAGGGAAGGGGAGAGGGGGGAGGGAAGGGGAGAGGGGGAAGGAAGGAGGGGGGAGAGGGGGGAGGGAAGGGGGAGAGGAGAGAGGCGAGAGAGGGGAAGGGGGGAGGAGAGGGGGAAGGAGGAGTGGGGGTGGGGGTGAAAGGGGAGGGGGGAAATTTTTTTAAAAAAAGTTTTTTGTAGGTTTTAAATTAAAAAAAAACTAAACTTCTTTGTTTTACACACACGCGCGCGCGCGCGGACGGTCGACACCCCGAAAACCCGCCCAATTGGGCGTGAAGCCGCCCTCACCTGAGGCCACCCCGCCCGCCCGCCCGCCAGCCAACGGCCGGTTTGTGGGCGGCTCCCGGCGTGCCCCGCGCGCTGAGGGCGGGAAGGGCGGGCGGGTGACGCGGGTTAAACATGGCGCTGCCTCTGAGCCGTTACTGCGCGAGGAGCTCACTGAGCGCGTGCGGCCGCTGGGGGCTCGAGCGGGGCCGGGGGAGCGCCGGCGGCGGAGGAGGCGGCGGCGGCGTGAGCGCTTCTCTCAAGGTAAAAGGAAGGAAGAAAGAACGAGGGAGGAGGAGGAGGAGATAGGAGGGGAGGGCGGCAGGACACGCGCAAGGACACGGCGGAAGCAAGGCCGCCTCTGCCGAGATAGGGGACAGAGGGAGGGAATGGAGGAGAAAGGTCACCGCTCCTCTGGAGGAAGGAGACCGGAGCATGGCCGGCGGGCGGTCAGGGCCGGGCCGGGCCGGAGTGGGCGCGGCCTTGGCGGTGGCTGTGTGTGGCACCGACTGGCTCAGATAGGGGGGCGGTCACCTCACCCCAATACCGGGCACGGCGGGTGGTCGCTGTGTTGGCGAGACTGGGCATCGGTGGTCCCACTGCATCATCATCATCATCATCATCATCATAATAATAATAATAGTAATAATCCTTACGTTTGATGTAGCGCCTCTCTCATCGGGTTCGATTTCCTTCCTAACCCCACACCCGTTCCCTGACCCGGACCGCTTTATTCCCACCCCCACCCCCACCCTCACCCTCACCCACCTCCGGCTCGTCGGCCGCCGCCGTCCCCGTACCACCTCACAGCCGACGCGGCTGAAACCCTCGTCCGCGCCTTTCTCGCTTCCCCCGGCCGGACGATTCCAATGCCCTCCTCCAGCTCCAGTGTACGCAGAGTACAGCTGATCCCGCACGGACCCCGACCCGCACACAACCCTGTGCCCCCATCACACCGGCCCCGGCCAGGACCCTCCACCGGCTCCCAATCACCGGACGGATTGATGTCAAGATCCTCTCGCTCGTTTTCGGATCGCTCAATGCCCTCCTCGCACCTCCCTACCCATCCGTCCTGCTTACCTCCCGCTCCCCCACCCGCCGCCGCCGCTTGTCCGGCTCCAGCCTCCTGTTCGTCCTTTCACGCCCTCCGTTCCACCATCGGTGGCCGTGCTTTCAGCCAATACGCCCCGAAACTCTGGAACTCTCTCCCTCTCCTTCAAATCCCTGATCGTGCTCACCGTCACCTCCCTCTCCCCCGGCTCGTTGCTCGTGGAGGCGCTGGCGAGAGCCGATCAGGAGGGCCTCGGTCTTGTTGGCATTGAACTGAAGAAAGTTCGCTCTCTTCGGGACTTGATGTCTGACAGACATTCTGTCAGGACAGCAGTGGTCCTGGAGTCGAGGGTGGGGGCAGAGAGGTAGAGTTGGGTGCCATCCGCATACATGTGGAAGTTGACCCCATGTCTGCGGATGATGTCACCAAGAGGGAGAATATAGATATTGAAGAGGGGATCAAGGACAGAGCTCTGAGGAATGCTGCACAAGACTGTGCAGGGGCTCGAGGAAAAGCCGTTTGGAGATGCAGTGGAAACGGTGTGAGAGGGAGGATCTGAACTATGAAGGTTGAAGTGAAAGGAGAGGCAGTGGAGGAGGTTAGAGTGGTCAAGGAGGATGAGAAGGCAGAGGGAGGCTTGGCCACAGATGGACAAAATGGGAAACTGGAGGGGCTCGTGATGGGAGTGGTGGGAGAGAGAGGAACAGTGATGCACATTCAGAGGTGGGTTTTGGGGGCGATAGAGCAGAGAGGGCATGAGAAGAGAGCAGGCCACAGGTGAAAGCTTGACAATCTACAGTGGAGTGAGGGAGGAGTAGCATGTGCAGCAGAGCAGAGTTTGGCAGAACAGAGGGAATGCATAAGCATTCTGTTAATTTTTAGCAGTAAAATGTATGTGTGAGTTTGGAGTCTTCCCTCCCCTGGTTGCTAGAAAGTGGTAACTGGTGATAGGGTACAAGCTATGGGTGCTATACACCCAGTGACATTTGCCAGATAATGCTTTCAATGGCATGCTATGTGTTTTTTTTTTTAGCTGGTTAAATTCCAGCATTACCCTAACAAACACTCTGGGGTCTCCCAAGTGTTGGCTCTTGCCAATCTGCATCTAATGCTCTGGAATTCAGTAAGCAGCAACATCTGCTTACCTTTACATAGTGCCCTTCACGTAAGATAGTGTCTCAGACTGCAGGGTGCATGCCTCCAGGGTGAGAATGCACATTCCATTCCAACGCACGTGTGGTTTGCATACCTATGTGATGAGCTTAGGCACATGGCTGATGACGTTTTGTTTTTAAAAAGTAAAAGTTGGTGACCACCACATCCCAAGTTACCAATAAGAATCAACAATTACAACTAATTCCCTTGTATTCTTCACTCAATACCTCTGTAAATGTCGTGAATGGATTTAATTATTTTACCTTATTCCTATCGCCTTTATTTCATTGCTTCTGTGGCGTCCCGTAGCATAGTGGTTAGCAAACTTGCCTCATAAGCGAGAGGACTCAGGTTTGATTCCCGGCCAGCAAGTTTTGTTACTCCATGCGCCTCTGTTTATCTAGCAGTAAAAATTTAAAAAATGACCTAGTAGTAAAAAAAATCGACTAACTCAGTTGTGGTTGATTGGCAGGGATTTCTCGGGGTAATAGTCCCTCAAAAAAAATTATCACTCAATCCACGACTGTTTGTGCGATCCCGCTGTGCGCGATTGGCTGCTGCGTTTCACCCCCAAAATACACAAATCAATTCACTTTATGATACATTCTGCGAAGTGCTTTACGATGTCTTGAAGGCACGATAAGGCGCTATATCAAATGCAAGGATTAATTTTATTATTATTGGGCAGTTCCTGTTAACCCTCAGAAAAATAAAAGGGGTTTCTCCATTCTGATCATTCATTCCCATTATGATAATATCTTCTAAAATTTAAACCATCTTTCTCTATCGAATACTGATCAAATGGCTATGCATTTTAAAATGCAATACAGTTTACATTTATATTGTGCCTTCAAGTCAGGAGGGCATCTTTTTCCTTGGCTCTCATACCGAGCTTGGGAGGCACCATTCTAGCCTTGCGGGCAGGACTATCGCCTCTGAATCAGAAGATTGAGGTTGTGGTTTCAAGTCCAATGTTGGGACTTTGAGTTCTTGGCTGACATTCCAGGAAGGTGCTGTGAGCATTGCATTGTTTGAGTTGCCATCCTTTGGATGGCATGTTAAACTGAAGTCCAGTTTACCTGTTTATATGAATGTTATTAATCTGGCAGAACTTTTTTTTTAAAAAAAGAGATGGGATTTTTTTCCTGGTGTCTTGGCCAACAGTCCACCAAATAAAATTGGTCATTCACTTAATGGCTGTTTGTAGAATATTGCTGTGAGAAAATGGCTGCTGTGTTTGCCTTCAAAGTAATTCCTGTAAAGGTCATTGAGACATTTTGACAACATGATAAGCTTCTATATCAAATACAAGGATTATTATTTCCAAACCACTGGTTTGAGGATACTGACAGTTTTGAACCTTTCCTGTAAAATGATTGAACCAAGAGTTTGAGAATCATGCAGGATAACAATATTTAAAATTGTTAAATATTACACTGAGCTGAGGTAAAGTGTAATTTTTTCAAAATTTACTGAATATTTTTAGTTGTTAGAAAACTAGAGATTATAGAAACAAAACTCAGATCTTTCTAAATGTGTCATAGAGTTTAATATTTGTATTTCAGAATGTATTGTTTCCTTATACAGGAGCTGCATTTATATAGAAGAACCTATTTAAACAGCACCATTTACAAGAAGCAAAATTCTTTCTGTTCTTTCTGGCGGTAAGAACCCTTCGAGTTATGATCTTCTTCAAAGCTTCACATTCTATGTTTAGCTAAAATCTCTAAATCTTGATCTTAGAAGTGACTAAATGTACATTTTGGAAATTCAATGGTTTCTGCTTTAACAAAAAATCTTAAGGTTTCTCATTATAGTGCCTATTTTTTCAATGTTTCTTCACAGAAACGTAAGGATTCTGAATTCATAATTTTCACATTGCATTGCTTCTGTGCAGGAAGCTTGTAACTGCTTTTGCAAAAGTTTCCAGTTTTTCTTGGGATACTTTGTGCATTTTGCCAGAAGCCAGCACATGAAGCCAGAAGTGGCCCAGTGTGAAATTGCTGGGGTATAACTGGTTTGGCTGGTATTTAAGAATTAAACTATCTAATCAAGTTTCTTCATTGAAATTAGCTTGGCCAATATACTGACTATGGATATAATTAGGGTAAAATACCCATATATTTGCGTTGTAATCCTCTTGTAATTTTTGGCGTTAAGGCTCCCAAGGAAAGTTTCAATTATTTTGAAACGTCTCAATGACAGGAAAAGGTGCCATGCCAAATGCAAAGATCATTATTATTATTTTAATGTTACAGATTTCCTAGGTTAGGAGAAATATTTTCACACCGAAATTTATTGGCATGTGGAATGCCCTACCAAGGTGATATAATCCGACTCTGTTGTGGATTTCAAGAGCGAAGTAGATGGGTGCATGAAAGACAAAGACTTGAAGAGGTTATCGGGATGGGCAGTGGGATTAATTGGACAGTTTATTCTGAAAGTCGGTTGGCTGTAAATTGCTATGATTCTAAACAAGGTTGTCTCTTTTCAGAACTCCATCCAGGTTTATGTATACCACTAGAACTAAATATTGCTATACCAAGGTTCATAGTGATGAACAGTACAAGGATCCCTATAGGTTATCTCAGAAAGAGCTGAATAATCTATATCAAGAGATTAGACGGGTAAGTCTCCAATGTCTGATTTATATGACGACTTGTGGAAAAAGCTTTCAATGTCACATACAGAGAACTATTTCCTCACCCTTTGAATAATATTTATATTCTATCTGTACCACATTTTATACTAGAAAATCAATCTATTCGAATGTCTATACTTGTAACAAACATTGTTTAGTATATTACACGTGCACTTGCTTTAATACAAAATGATATTTGTTTAGCGCCTTTCAAATACTACAGTTGCAGTAATGTGGAGTATAAAATAAATGAAGCTACACGGAGGTAATATCACATTCAGAATTTTCAAATGATGCAAGTTGACCCCTAGTCTGCTGAGTTACTCGTTTAAGCTGAGCCATCAATGTTCTTTTTTGGGTAGCTACATTTGGCTTCTGCCCTCATGGTAAGTAGCAGAAAATTTGGCTAGGTCACCTGGTCCTGACTCTTGCTAGAAATATGCTTATGTGGCCACTGGGTGAGGCTAATTTGTGATAGTCGTACAGTTGATTGACGCTTGCTATGCAAATGTCAGAATAACCAGTGGTGCTTCTGAATTATGATGAGTGCAAGAGAAGGAAACCCAAGAGATTTTCTTTCCCTTATCAGTGTTCTCCCATTTCCTTCCTGTAGGCATCTGATGCTTTTTTTCTGACTGGGGTGTGCTTCCATTGGCATTACACATCATCCAGGACCTTATGCAAACATTGTTTGCATGTGAACCTCGGCAGTTTATTGTTGTTGTTGTTGTGGGGGGAAGCATTGCAGCTGAACCTATCATGAATGCCTTGTGGTATCAACAAAAATCCATAACCACTGAATCCATATAATCCTTATAGTCAGGAGCAGTAACCTGGTTGATTTTCCACACCCTAGCCCAGGGCTCTGAAATTAATTGTAGTGCCTCTGGTAAAGTCCATTAACTGAACACTGATGAAGGATCAAATCTGGGTCTTATATGGCTCAACTATTCACTGAATAAGTCTGCTGAGCCATCAGATAATGTATCTTGATAATTATTGACTTACTAGCTTGATATATAGTTTGAAAAATATTGTTTTATTTATAAGGTAGCTATTCAAGTTGCTTTAATAATTCAAACAATGTAATGTATTGCTCGTTACTTTATTTATGGGTAGATACATAAGCTTATTCTCTTAGTTTTACTCTCTTAAATGTTTTGCCAGCAACTGGCAGTTTCTTCGGCAGACCTCAAAGAAATTTGCGATTACTATTTTGATGGAAAAGGGAAAGCTTTCCGACCCATGATTGTGGTACTTGTGGCAAAAGCATGTAATCTCCATCAAAGTAAGAACAGGTAAGTGAAGCAAGTCTTTTCAAAGAAGTACTACTATTGCGAGAAATGTTTAACCAATTCTCTTCTATGCTCTCCATCCAGGTATGCAGGTTGTATGTCTGCTCATGGGCATACAGATTCCTCTGCATTTCCCAATCAGACAAATCGAATAAGGCGTAATAGAATCAGTGCCTAATCTGTTAGAATAGCAACAAATGTCATTACCTCTGTTCTCTAATTGATGGGCATGGTACCTGTGGAACTATTGAATGTTCAAAAATTCAACCTGACAGCCTCCAGATAGCAGATCAGTAATGTAGGACTTTGGTATCCTGCTGACATATGCATAATAAGCTACCGTATCAAGAATTGTTAGCCTTATATTGCAGTAATAAAAAGTGGTGAAGTGCCAGATTATAGTGATATGTGACTTACTTGGGTGCTTTATTTTTCATAGCTCCCTGTTGTTCGGTAAATGGTCGGCAATTTCATTGCTGCTCAACTGTGTCTCACTTCCGTTCCATGTTTTTGTGTACAAGTGCCACAAGTGGCAGTGTGTGATTAAAGTAAAATAAATTTCCATTCTGACTGCTGCTGAAAACATGATTGTCAAATTTTAAAATGAATTTTGCTAAACATGTCTCAGAATATAATTATACAAAAGGAGAGAAAGTGAAGGCAGTACTGGAGGACTGAAGAACGGTCTATAATAGAGGGAGAGGAAAGTTCATTTATTGGTAAATACTTTTGTCTACTTTTTCTTTAGATCTTTCAGCAGACTTCTTGAGTTTGATTCCGGTGGTGATGCTTGCCATATACTAGGATTTGTGAGCTCATGATCTGGGTTGACACTCGAAGGCAGTTGTGAGGGCATACTGCATTGTTGGCAATGCTGTCCTTTGGATAACATATTAAACTGAGGTCTTGCTTGCCCATTTTGGTAGTTCAGTTGTGTACTAAAGATTCATTAACACTATTTCAAAGAACATCGAGTTCTTCCAATGTATTTATTGGGCCAATATTCGTCCCTCGTCTAAATTCACCAAAAACAGATGAATTGGTCACTGGAAGGTATCTGGCACAGATTAATTTGCAAACAAACTGTTTAGCTCCTTGGCAGCAATATTTCAGCATTTGTTGTGTCCTAGGAAAATTGGTACTTTATGAAATGCTTGTTTCATTTTCCTCCCAAAGTCAAAATTAACTATGCTAAAAATGTTTTTTCTTTCCTCCATTGCACCTAGAGAACTGCTAAAGAGCCAGCATTCTGTTGGCATGATAGCAGAAATGATCCACACTGCTAGCCTTGTACATGATGATGTGATCGATGGCTCAGACACTCGGCGGGGAAAAACCACAGTTAACAAAATCTGGGGAGAGAGAAAGGTGGGTGATGCAACATCTTTAGGCATAACACTCGCGAGAAATCAACACATGCAATAAAAAATATTCTTGCAGTGTTTAATTTTATCAGCAAAACATGATGCTATCCATTACATAGTACATGTTAACAGCACCCTTTTGAATAACTGGTCTTAATTTGACATCACATCTGCTTTGTAAACTGTTCCACACAGAAATACTTTGCTTTTGGCTATTGAAGATGAACTAGACCATTTTAAGGGTTACAGATATATAGAAGTTTTCAGGGTCATGGATTGGCCAATTCATACTAATTGAATTACAAAGTATGGTTTGCAAGGAGAATCGTTGTGAAACATTGGCTGGACATTGACATGGGAATTAGGAGCAGGAGTAGGCCATTTGGCCCCTCGAGCCTGCCCCACCATTCAACAAGATCATGGCTGATCTTCTAACCTAACTCCATCTGCCCGCCTTATCCCCAAATCCCTCTATCCTTTAGAAACCTATCAATTTCAGTCTTGAATATGTTCAAGGACTGAGCATCTACAGCTTTCTGGGGTAGAGAATTCCATAAATTCACTACCCTCTGAGTGAAGAAGTGTTTCTCCAACTCTGTTCGTGAGGGCTGTCCCTTAATCTTAAAACTGTGACCTCTAGTTCTAGATTCTCCTACAAGGGAAAATAGTCTCACACTGTCTACTCTGTCAAGCCCCATAAGAATCTTATATGTTTCCATAATATCACCCTAATTCTTCTATATTCTAGAGAATTTAGGCCTAGTTTACTCAACCTATCCTCATAGGTCAACCCCCTCATCCCAGGAACTAACCTAGTGAATCTACTCCCTCTAAGGTGAGTATGTCCTTTCTTAAATAAGGAGACCAAAGCTGCACACAATATTCTAGGTGCAGTCTCACCAAGGCCCTATACAGTTGCAGCAAGACTTCCCTACTTTGGATTCAACCCTTTTGCCATAAATGCCATTAGCCTTCCTAATCGCTTGCTGTACCTGCATACTAACTTTTTGTGACTGGTGTACAAGGACACCCAAATCCCTCTTAACACTATCTAGTCTCTCCCCTTCTAGAAAATAATCTGCTTGTCTGTGTTTACTACCTAGGTGAATAACTTCGCACTTACCCACATTATATTCCATCTGCCACCTTGCCCACTCACCTAGCCTGTTTATATCCCTTTGCAATCTTTTTGTGTCATCCTCAGAGCTTACACTCCCACCTAGTTTAGTATCATCCGCAAATTTAGATATTTTAAGTTCTATGTCCTCGTCTAGATCATTGATATAGATTACAGAAATAGAAGTATAGATATAGAAATATAGACATTTTAATAACTTATTTTCAAGTATGGTAAGCCCACATAATTCTAAAATGTCCAAAAATACTTTAATGGATATTTACCTTTTTGTCTTATCTTTCCCTGTTGAGATACATACTTTTATCCTTTCTTCTAATCATACCTTTCAAATCTGTTCTTCGATTTGTTTCTCTTTTCCTGTAGGACCTGAATTTTATGACCAGGATCAACTTACCACATTCATAGATCAACTGAGAGTCTGCTGGAACTCTCTTGATCTTGGGCTTTATGGGGGGGGTCAATATAATTTAAGAATATAAGAAGCGCTAGATGAAAAAAGACCAAGGTCCATCTAGTTCACTTTCCACCTTCCTGGCAGTCCAGAACTACCTATGTACAATATTCCATGCCAGTTGGGAAGCTCTAGTGTACGTAGAATGTAAATTTAATATTTTCATATGCAGAACCATTTGCAATTAAATTAGAGCATTAAGTTGGAACAAATACATTATATTTAAACAGGTATGGTATTAAATTTAAATGATTGCACTTTTTAAATTGTTCATTTCTGCTCAGTCATGTTAATGAACATAAATATAATAATCCTTGTGTTTGATATAGTGCCTTATCACGTCTTTGGGACGTCTCAAAAGCGCTTCACAATATACCGTAAAATGGAGAGACTGTATTTTGTGGGCAACTAATTGTGTACAGCAGTGTCCAACATTGGTCATATGGATAGTGACCAAATTTTTTTTATTATTATCCCCGTAATCTGCCAATCGACTAACATCAGGGTTCCTATTTACTGCTAGATAAACAGGCATGTGGAATAAGGAAACCTGCCCAGTGTTTTGTCCTGTGAAAAGTGGAAAATATCCACTTTCTAAATCAGTTTGATTAATAATACTTTATTTAGTCTTATTGATTTTGTTCAGCTCTATGCCAGGGCTAATTTATCTTTTGTCCCCCAATTAATTATCATGGGGAACAAATCTAACTGAGTTATGGTAGTCTTTCTTCTGATTAGTTTAATTTGGTTTGGCTTGTGTTCTTCAGAACCATAAGCTTCTACTACTCATTCTCATGCAGGGAAAACCCACTGAAAGCACTCAGCTGGTACAATGTTTTAAGTGAGTCACAAAAAAAGGCCAGCTTCCAGGTCATGGGTCGCTACTGACATTACATCCTGTGCATGAGTTGATGGCATTTCCTGTACATTGTGTGCAACAGCCAGTAAATAGTGCCAGCAGAAACTGGATGACCTATAGGTCAGTGCCGGAAGCTGGGTGCACTGTGCTTCTCGTCAGCATGGGTCCACCGGAAACCAGCACTATATCAAAGGGAGCTAGATCTAGGTTCTCCTGTGTTTTTCAGTCTGTCAGGATCCTGTTTAGGATTTACTACTCGGGGGGCCCTTTATAAGCTTAACACTTTTCTCATTTCAGTGTGATCATTTCAAAGTGAGTTATGGTACATGTCTGATTGCATCCTGCTTGCAAATCAACATCTGTGGCTTGCTTTGTACTGTCTCTTTCTAATGCCAGACTGAGTAAAAGTGACAAATCAGGTATCCACGCAATCCACTTGAGAATGATTTTTTTATTCTGGAATCTGATCACACGATCTGGTCTAAGATAAGGTTCAAGGCCCCACACATCGGGACGTGGAGTCACACAGTCTAAGCTGACGCTCCAATGCAGCGCTGGGGGGTGTTGCATTGTTGGAGGCGCTGTCCTTTGGGTGAACCGTTAAACCTCGCTCACTCCCCGTTGTGCCCTGTTTAGGTGGGCAGAACGTGGTCAGTTGGGAACTTTTGGGTTGTGAATTGATGTTTCAGTGGGAAAACTCATTTCTGAAGATTTTAATACAGCTCCCTGTGGACCTAGGAGATGTGAGGGGGGAGGCACATTGCTTTAAGTTTAAGTGCTCCAAGAGCGCTTTATAAATACAAGTCATTGTAAGTGTAAAATATTTTATCTGATTAGACAGCTATAAAATACTCACTTGTAAAATGTTACACTGCACTGTTACGACAGTTTCAAGTAAGGTAGAGTAACCCAACTTCTGTCCCTCACCGAATTAGTGCTGATGTTTAACCTGCATTGATTTGATTCTTGGTCTCAATCATCAACACAAGCTGATTCCAGAATCTAATAGATAAGCTAGGCTGCAGTATACTGAACTGCGATTTTTCTGCTAAATCATTCTTTTTTTAACAAGTACATTTTTAAGTCAGTTGGTCCAGCCTTCCTTTTAACATTTTTAGGGAACTAATTCCACTTCTGGGTCTTTGATGGTATTTAAAATACCTAGAGGATTCTTGGAAACAGGTACGTGTGAATACTCAGGAGCCCTCTATGTCTGGGATTTTATTTAGAATGAATATCTTGAAGTACTTAAAAACTGCAGTCTGCTGGCTCCAGCTCGGGTGCAAATCCCTCAACTGTCCAGCACGTTGGGTTGTCCTCCCAACAATACAGTTTGTTTCTTGTTGTTGGATGGCTGCAGTATGAGGCATTGATGCCAAGCTAGGAGTCCTGTAGCTCAGTGGGCACTCGCCTCACAAGCGAGAAGCCTGGGTTCGATTCCCGGCAGGGTGAAACCTTGAGCAAGTTTCCTTACTCCATACGTCTGATAATAATCCCTCAAAAAAACATAATAAATTGGTCACTTCAATCCACGACTGTTTGTGGGACACCGCTGTGCGCAATTGGCTGCTGTGTTTTGCCCACAAATATACAGTCAATTCACTTTACAGTATATTCTGTGAAGCGCTTTGAGGCGTCCAGAAGATGTGAAAAGCGTTATATCAAATGCAAGGATTATTATTATTATAAGCTGGTCAAGAAACCTGTAAACCACAAGTAAAATGGCTAAATGATATATAGAATTTTTTTTCACCACAGTACATCATAAACTGATTTATCATTGCAGGCTATCTTGGCTGGAGACTTTGTTCTCTCTGCAGCCTCCGTGGCCCTTGCCCGCCTTGGCAACAACACTGTAGTATCCATTTTATCTCAAGTTATTGAAGACTTGGTACGAGGTTAGTTTTAAATTGAAATGAAGCCATAAAATAATCTCAATGCTAATTACTAAAAAAAAGTTAACTTTGTTTCTTTTTTATTAGGAGAATTTATGCAGCTGGGTTCCAAAGAAAATGAGAACGAAAGATTTGTACATTATCTTGAAAAAACGTTTAAGAAGACTGCAAGTCTAATAGCAAACAGTTGTAAAGCAGTATGTACGTTCTGTCTTGTCTAAAGTAACTGGAATTATGCTTGTATTAATGGTAAACACTCTGTCCAACTATGACAAAACATGTATCGCATCTTGATACCAAACAATATTCCTCCCTCATGTTTTCATTTAACCGCTGAGTTTAACCAGACCAGAGGTATTTTAAGCTTATCCTGATGATCAACGCCCTCCTGAGTTGTTTAGTTTTTTTTGCCAGAGGCAGCAAACGAACCAGCACCTTTTGCAGCCAACAGTCTTGCCCTCCTCCTGCCTATGTAAATTAGTGCTGTGGATTTCACAGTGCTGGTCTGTCGACTTTAACACGCAGCAAATTCATACATTGCCAATCCTGTGTTTCCGCGAATGCTATAAATTGTGCCCTGCAAAGTTAACAGGAAAATCTGTAGAAACCACTTCAATTTGAAGGGTCTGCAGGATGTCACATTATAAATTTGTTGTGAGGTGACGGTGTGAATCAGCATTTCAAAGTGCTACACATAGATATCGGATCCCAATGTTCTGTTTTCTTTTTATTACAGAAAGAGCAAGAACGTTTTTCACATTTCTTCTCGTTTTTAAGTGTTTCATATATTCCACCATTTTGCATGTATTTGAGATGAGAACGAGCCTGACCACATTTGCATCTGAAAGGTGTCACAGAATGGGGGGAAAAAAAAGTGAGACTTTCCCTAATTATACAGTCCATTATTTAAAGGGAACTCGATAAATGATGGAAGAAGTAAAGCACAGGGGGAGAGTGGGATTAGAATAATAGCTACAATGGGGGAGTTGGCACCAGTACAGTCTCAGATTTTATAGTTTATACAGATTAGCAAATCCATCTGTTTGTGTGAAAGGAAAACTGCTGGAAATAATTTTAAAATCTCAGATTTTATTGGTTTAAAACGTGTACATGTACATGTATTATCTGATGAACATTCTGTGTTTTTTTTAAAGGTATCTATACTTGGCAATTGTGGTCCAGATGTCCAAGAAATTGCATACCAATATGGGAGAAATATTGGAATAGCTTTTCAGGTAATGTTTGTGTTCCAGCTCAATGTTGGCAAGACAGACACTCTCCTGCTTGGCTCCCGGCAGCGCCTTCTCACCTCAGCCGCTGCCACTATCACTATTCATGGCTGCACTCTTCACTCTCCGATCGGAAACCTCGGTGCCCTTTTCAACCCTCAGTTATCCTTCAAACTCCCCATTCGTGCCATGACCCGTTCTGCCTTTCCACACCTCTGCAACATTGGCCACCTCCACCACTGCCTCTCACTGCAGGCCGCCGAGACCCTGATCTAGGCTTGACTACACCAACTGCCTGCTCTCTGGTCTTCCCATCTCTTCCCTCCAGAAGCTGCAGATTATTCAGAACTCTGCAGCTCGTGTCCTCTCCTGCATCTGGCTCTGGGAACCTATCACCCCCGTTCTTGCCCAGCTTCACTGGCTCCCCATTCCTCAAAGAATCGAGTACAAAACCCTTGTTCTTATCTTAAGGCCCTCCACAGTCTTGCTCCCCCCTACCTCTCTGACCTCATAACCCCATATCAGCCTGCTCGGTGGATACTGACTGGCTTGCTTCAGGTCCCCCGCACTTCCCGCCCCACCATTGGCGATCAGGCATTCAGCATCTCTACCGCCACTCTGGAACTCTATCCTGCAATCCCTTCGCCTCATCCCCTCTTTTGCCTCCAAGTCCCATCTGAAGACCTCTTCGACTGTGCCTTCTGCCACCATCCCACCCCTGCCCTTCCCTTCTGACCCCAACTCAGGTTTAAAACCCAATTGTCAGGCGCCCTGGAACGTCGCTATACAAGTGTGATTTGTTGTTGTGTTTCGTGACCATAGCAACTTTGCATGTAGAAGACAAATCTTTTGGTCGTCTTTTGTAAAAATACTTTTATTTTCATGTAAGAATTATTACATAAGTGCAAGCTATAATCCTAAATCATGTACTTGTTTCAGTTGGTAGATGATGTGCTGGATTTCACAGCCTGTGCCAATCAGTTAGGCAAGCCAGCTGCTGCTGATCTCAAGCTTGGTTTGGCCACAGGGCCAGTGCTCTTTGCTTGTCAAAAGGTAATGTTGCCTATATATATTAGATGTGTGGAGTGTTTAATAATAATCTTTGCATTTGATTTAGCACTTTGTCGTATCTTCGAGACATCTCAAAATGCTTCACGGAATACTGTAAAGTGAGTTGACTGTATATTTTATGAGTGAAACATAGCAGCCAATTGCAACGCAGTGTGCTCAATGGCCTGTACTGTGAAATTCTTTCTGTGATTCTAGCAAGTTTAGAGGGTGGCGAATAACTGCACACAATCCAGAGAGAAACAGATAAAATTTGAGTGAAAACCATTTCAGATGGTTGAGTATTTTTATAACTTTGAACATACATGAACTGCAGTAGTTCATCTTGCGGTAGCCTGGCAGTACTCTCACTGCTGAGGCAGAAGGTTGTAGGTTCAACTGCCTACTTGATGTCCCCTGCTCTATCCACCCCACCCCTAGTGGATGATTGCAGCCAAGCTGTCCGTCTGTGTGGAACTCCCTCTGCTTTGTCCCCCTCCCTCCCCACCTTTAAAGCCTGCATTAAATCTTGTTTTTTCAACTGTGCTTTTGGCCACCTTCATCCCCCTCTTCAACTTCCCTTCAGAGATGTCTGTAGTGAAAGCTGCTATATAGATCTAAATTGTTTGTGGTGTAAAGTGTGTCATCATCATGGATAAAATGCAACCCTTAGATTTACTTTCACTTTTTGGGAGATATTGTGGAAGTTTAAAATTGACCATGTTCTGTTGGGTGTCACTAATTTAGAAGCAATTGTAGGATTTCTCCCATTTGTAACAATATGTTGGGTGAAAATTCTTCAGATTCTCAGCAACCCGATGATTGTTGTATGTGAGACACTCAGTCTTTTTCTCATTCCCGGTTTGATTTCCTGAAGTACAATCTTTTCTGGGAAACTAATGATGGTCCCACTGCTGGGTTTGTAATGAGTTTGTGACAATGACTTGTCCCACCTCTCCATTCTGAATTCTTCTGTAGTTAGTGTTACAAAACTGAACACATTTTTCACCAGTCAGGGTTTCTTGCAGCTCGGGATAGAAATGGGGCAATAAACCATCTAATTCTGAAAATTAACTACAACAGTGTAGTTGGGTTGGGGAGAGTTTAGGACTACATAAACGTAAAATGGAGTGGCATTGGACTTGCCCAGCCACTTAAGTGAAATGAGTTGGGTTTAGGGAATTTGTTACATTCCCTTAGCCAGTTCATAATGAACTTGCTATTTACCAAAGTACTACATCTTGTTCCTCTAGTTTCCAGAACTGCATGCCATGATCATGAGACGGTTCAGTTCAGATGGTGATGTGGATCGTGCCTGGCAGTATGTATTACAGGTAAAAATTTATAATCCTTGCATTTGATAGTGCTTTTCAGGTCAGGAGGGCACTTAATACAATTTATTTTAAAATGTAGGCTAAAGTTGTGATTATTTGTAGGTGAATGTGATAACCAATTAGTGGGACAATGCTATGCACAAACAGCCCCAACTCGCTATGAATGATTATCTGGAACATTGTTGGGCAGGACAGTGAGGAAAAACTCCTTTCTTTTTATGGGATCTTTAACTTCTAACTGCCAGACCTTCTGAAGGACGGCATCTCTGAAAATGCAGTACCAGCCTTAATGTCAGACCAAAGGCTTAATATTAGGCTGATAACTATGGGGAAGGAAGATACAATGTGCATACACTAATGAGAAAGTACAATTGAGTTGTCATTTGCATGATTGTTTGCCAACAATGAGCAACGGGAAAGTAAAGACTGGTTTCAATTCAGAACTTCAGCACATCTCTGGACCTGTTTTTGATTTGTAATATAAATGTATTTGCACATAAAAGCTGGAAATCAAATTAAATGCCAAAACTTTTGCTCATTACTTTGTAATACGTCACTCCTAATTATAATAAATCTAGGCCATTTCATTTGAAGGGTTTAGATTTGGCATTAAGAATTAATTCTAAATATTTTCCCTTTAGAGTAATGGTGTTCAGCAAACCTGCTACCTCGCACAACAATACTGTCAAGAAGCCATCCGCCAGATCTCCATGCTGCATCCCTCACCAGAAAGAGATGCCTTGATTCATCTTACAGAAATTGTATTAACACGGGACAAATAAGAGTACACTCCACTTTTCTACAGGCAGCTATTGACTACAAATGAAAATTATATTAACCATTGTCAAGTCTTCAGTTTGTTTGTGAATTCCAAACAACTCGGACAACAGTGGAACTTTGTTTACATGTTTGTACTATACTATGCCTATGGAGATTCAACATCAATTTCCCCCAAGAGGTGCTAACTCCTGCTGGTTTCTATGGGTGCCAATCCTCATCCAAGCCTGCATCAGAACCTGGACAGTGAGGCTATTTGACCTTGAAGCAAATCACAGCAGAGTCGGTTTCCACTCATTCTCATGTATGCCTATTCCAGTAATTAACTAGAAAACAGAAGTAGAAAGCACGGCTGTACTAACATTAACTGGAGCACCACTACTGTTGTCAGCCTGCTCAGGAATCAGTCTCCTCATTTTCTGATCTATTGCTTAGGCGACATTGGGAGTTCCTTTACCCATTAGAAATCATGAAGATAGTTCATTGAACAACAAACAGCCCTGTCTGTCGTTCAATTTACGCAACCATGGCTTGAGTCAACTCCTGTCCAACTTAATTCATAAAAAACATTTTATCTGAAGCGTGTGTTGATTTTATATATTGAGAATGATTTATTATAAAAGACTGTACATACAATTAACAGGTTATATACAAATTAAAGAATGCATTTTCAGTTTTAAAGTCAAAGAAAATGAAGTCTCACAATGTTAAAGCTTCTTACAATCATAAGGCAGAAGTTAATAAGAAAGCCTGTTACATGATCTGTGGACATAACTTTTACAGATCAATTGTTGTGGAACTTTGTTGTACATAATCACACTGATAAATCAGAATAGGATTAGAGAACTAAACACAATGTAAATCAGGTGTTGGGAATTAAAAGTTCCATCTCACCCCGAACGAGGGCACAGTGGTGGTCCCTCTGGTCCATTTTAATTTCAAAATTTCTTACAATACAGCAATTGGATTATCAATATATGGGATTTTGTTTTCTTATTAGCTTCACCACTGAAACCTTGAATAGCAAAAAGCAATTAAACAATCTATGGAAAATACAGAGTTGAACACTGATTTAGATACCGGGGCCTTTCTGGTCATAGAATGCATTTCCAAATACAAAATGCAAGAATTATTAAACATTGAGGAATTTGGTACTGATTCCTTAACAAATCATTACATTGTCTCTCAAAAGGAAATAGGGAAGCATAGCCAAATGGCCAGTCTTGTGCTACAAGACAGAGTTGAAGGCAAACCTGGCCCAAGTTTCAGAAACAGTGACAACTATTTTTGCAGTCAAATTATCTGGATCTGAATTCATAAGGTAGAAACTGCACCATCTTCTAAAGGTTAGTAAAACTATCCAATAAAATTTTATGAGGGTTACACAAAGCCAATGGTCCAGATAATTTCGACTGTACAAATGAACTGACAACATACCAGACTACACTTTGGTTCACTTTGTGACCACAGATGACTTTCCATTATGTAAATTTACCCATACAAAATGTTTAACCTGTTAAGTACAAATTACAACAACATGTACTTTGATTAGAATACACCCAAGCCTCATCCACATAAATGTCTTTATAGACTCCTGTGACAGTTCATGAGATTACAATTTAGTGTGAGTACTCACAGATTAACTGAAAATTACAACAAATTGGAAGCATTTTAGGTTAAAAAAATTGATTTGCTACAATACATAAATTCGCTTTTTATGCATGCTATCAACAAGCACTAAGTTGCAATTTAGGAATGACCATAAGTCGAAAAAGTTTGACCAGCACTTGCACTTTCACCCTTACAGTGTCAGTCTGAACACAAGTTTGTTGCATTTTCAGTCTAATCGTGTCAGTTTCCATGCGGAGGGGAAAAGTAATGGCACCCTTGAAGACATCTTAATAAAAATCGATCCCACATTAACCTACACACCCCAAATGCTTAGGCTGGTCAAGGAATAAAAGAGCTTGAAGAATCAGGCGGTTTGTTTCAATCTGCATAGTGCATGATGGGTTCTACATAATTTCCAGGAAACAAACCAGTAACTCCATTAATGACACCTTCATACCACCCATCGTCATTCTTCTTTATCACATAAATGATGGCACCCTCCATGAAGGACAACTCATCCTCTTTGTCCTTGGAATAGTCATATATTGCCACAACTGTCGGAAAAATAAAACCATAGTAATATTAAGAATGTATACCTATAACCTGAAGCAAACAAGGTGAATATTTGCACTTTAAATCAATTTGAACAAAATGATAATTTTGTTTTGATTAATTTTAAACAATTAAAACCTCAAAGTACACAACTTCATATAATTTGCTAATTTAGTTTGATAAATAGAATTCCCATCACTGATCATGCATTTCGTCCACAAAATATACAATATTATTAAATAATTTGATCACTCAATCCATGAATGTTTGTGGGACACTGCTGTGTGCAATTGGCTGCCACATTTTGTTTACAAAATATAGTCAATTCACTTATCAGTATATTCTCTGACTTATTTTGAGACGTCTCAAAGACGTGATAGGGCGCTATATTAAATACAATGATTATTATTAAAGCACAGATTTAAAGAAAAACATTTTATATTGAGATGAACAGTTAAGAAAAGGACAACAATTACTATAGGAAATACAAATCAATTGTTTTCGCCTGATACACAGAAACCCATCACAATGCTTAACGCCAAACAAACTGGGTCCAGCATTATGTGTGGAAAATGAAGTAAGGCATCACCATGGTTTTAGGAAAGGAGGGATAAAGCAAGGGAAAGAGACTTGGAAAATTGAAAGCTTTAAGCAAAACTAAAAAAGGTTCATCAAGAACAATTTGAAGATAAACAAAAGGGAAAGAAACTCACAGCAACTACCAGGGACAAATAATATTTGCATTTGATATAGCGCCTTACCATGTCGTTGGGACATCTCAAAGCGCTTCACAGAATATACTGCAAAGTGAAATGACTATATTTTGTGGCCAAAATATTTATTGCCCGAGTTCATAGTTTCCTACTGCACCACGAACAAGCATACAATGCCCTCAATCTATGGCACCACCTGCCCCCGTATGAAATGATGAAAAGAACAATAAATTCACATTTTTGACAGAAATTGTGGCCATTACAGATTTCCACTATTCTTTGTCAAACTAGCGCAAGTTTTACCAACGTTTTAGCGTTCGACGTTTTGTGCAATCAAAAAAAAGGATTCAACCAGAATTCACATTCAACATCGGGGAAATTAAATGCGAAGACGACGGAATAGAGTTGTGTGTTTTCTTTTATCTCCTGACACATTTTCCTCAAAAACAAGGGAGTCTCTTACCTTTCTCAAGGTAGTTCTTTGGTGCCCAATTAGGATCTGAATCAGCATATGGGTCATTGTATTGCACAACTGCTGCCTCCTCATCCTCATAATCCACAGGTGGTGGGGGAGGGGGAGGAGGGGACTCATCAAACATAGGCAAGTCATCCGGAGGTGGTGGAGGTGGTGGGGTTGGACTATCCGCAACTGGAAAAATGTGGAAATTTATTTAATACGTTCAGATATTTAACAGGGAAAATTCAAACTGTACAACACTCACATTTTACACTCACTCACTCACCCCACACACAAAAAACTAAATAGAGGGTTACATGCATTTTACATGACAGAACTTAAAAGAAACCATGCAGATAGAAAGACTGTACACTGAGGAATTTCAGACCATGCTGAGGCAAGTTAGTTTAGTTATACTTTCTGTGATTGTAAGTTCTGCACAAAGAATCTCTTATTTGAGGTAGCTCAGCTGAAACGGAATACAAGGAGGAAGCATCAACCCGGGTGGTCATTATTTTGTATCTTATTTAGAACAATTTTCGGATAAAGACAAAAATGTTTCAAAGCATGTTCGAGTTCCTTGAATGAATGAGGAAAGAAAAACTACAGTTTTCCATATAATTGTAGTTGCACTTTAAAAATAAAAACTTCTACATTTCTTACTCTAACAAAAGGCATCAAACGGAAGATATTAAATAACAGTTAAATTTGGAGTACTGTGGTCCCAAAAGCTCCCATGTGGAGTTTCTAAGGCTTTACTTTTTGAATCAAACCTGACAACTTGGCAACAAGATATTTGAAATTAAACCCAAACACTGATTCAAGTTTACAATACAGCATTTGTTTCCCTCAAATAAATTTCATCCTAAAATGAAGCACTGATTCTCATAGGTTTACATATATAAATATTCACATTGCGCAATTAAAACTGTATCCAGCAGATGGCAAGATTTTTTTTCTAAGCTTTCAATAATGTTGAGATGAATAGTAATACTGTTTCACACCACAACTTCGTACAGAGATAAAACCTTAATGGAAAAAAATTATGCGGAAAAAGTCCATGTGCAAGTGCAGGAGGAAGATGAATTGGAGGGTTATATTCACATCTCTAAAAATCATGCACAGAACAACAAACACAGCAAGCTTCTACAATGCACAAGATCATACAGAACTTCAATGGACATGCAATATGCAGAACAGTCTCCTTCATACCAAGTCTGGTCACTACAACTAAATTAATCAGTTTTCCATATAACTGTTACTAAAAGCTTTAAAAAGAAGATCTGCAAATATTTATTTTGGGGTTATTGGGTAGCTTTTCAGCAAACCCATCGGTGAGCCACAGTATGCCTCAATTTTAAATCAAAATATAAAGAACTGTTCAACATGCACTGAATATTGCATGTCAGTAAGTGGAGAAAGTCTGTCTTCAGTGGTACATTCAGCAGCACAGCTATACACAGAAGTGATGTATTGCAGCAGGACAGTGGCATTGACAGAATTCTCAATTGAAAATGTGGAAATGTCAAAATCATGCACACTTCTCTGTCCTTAAGAAAAAGAAACAAAAAAGGATGCATCTACTCAGCCATAGGAACTTACTGTTTTCCTGCACCCTGGCCACGAAGCCTGTGAGAGGTATCTGTGGAGTCAGCTGAGGCATAGGGGGAGGGGGTGGTGCTAGGGATGCTGACAATAACAAAGGCCACATTGGGACAACATGGTGAGGGTAAAGAGAAGAGGCAAACACAAGCAGCTGTCAATCACAGAGATTGAGGCACAAGCAGCACACAAATTGCATAATGATGCAGTGGAACCTCATATATCAAAGTACAAAAAGGTTCCTCAGCATTCGTGTTTTAGGTAACGTGTGTTAAGACTAGTTTTAGACAGCAGTGAGCACAAGATTAACATGAACACGGTGGCAAAATGGCGAGTACCTATATTACTTCAAAAAGTTTTTTTTAAAATAAACTAAACAATTTGATCACTCAATCCACAACGGTTTGTGGGACTTGTGGGACAATTGGCTGCCACGTTTCGCTCCCCAGTATATTCTGTGAAGCGCTTTGAGACTTCGCAAAGATGTGATAAGGCGCTATATTAAATGCAAGGATTATTATTATTACTACTTGGTTTCTAGGACTCCAGCAAGCAACATTAACAATCACGTTTGATTTTGCTACAATAGATAAGGTTCCACTGCAATAACATTTTAAAAAAAGCAAGTTACCCGCCACAAATTTTAGATAAAATCTAAAAATGCAAGACAGAAGCTCCATTTTACCCAGGATTTAAACTTCTCTATTCACAGATGAGTGTAAATCCGCACTAACAAATTAAGGAGCTACCATGTTTTATTCAACAACCCCAGAATCAATCCTACAGCAACTATAAATTACAGTTCTAACCACGCATTATAAATTTTAAATGCAGGGCAACCCTACTACAGCTAAAATAGGACAAGGCTGAACTCTAGCGTCAACCTATTTCGGGAAGGGGGTGGGGGGGAGGGAGAGAGGGAAGAGAGAGAAAGCTTTTGAGGACTTCAATATATCACAGGAAAGGCAGTTCACAATTTTCTCAGCAGTCATAGCTTCACCACCATCAATTCAGGCCAGACAGATGCAGGGACTATGCCTTGAGAAAAAAATCAGGTTTGACAAGGTTCAGATAGGTGCAGTTTATAGCTTCAATGCTTCCAGCGCTTGTTTTAGCCCACGTTTAGTTTCAGACACCAATTAGATTGACAGCCACTTAGGTACATTTTGGTAAAATTCAAACCGGGAGCATGAAATTCTGACCTTCCACACAACCCAAGCTCTCACCTCCTGGTGAGAAATATTAATGGTCGACAATTACGCAGTTTTATCAATTATGTTTTTGGAGGGAGGGGAGAAAGATGGAGACAGGGAATATGTCTGAAAAGTCCATATCATGAATTAATATAAACTTCTACTTTCCTGAAATTGTAGGGCAGTAGGAAATTATATTTAACAGTTAAGCAAATCTACCAAAGTAGATTTTTTAAAAAAAAATAAGAAACACGATAGCTCCTTTAACTGCAGTTCTCAAGCACTAGATTCATTAAGCTTGTGGTTGATAAATGGCAACTTCAGTATTATTGCACACACATTTAAATCAACTCCCAATAAGATTAGGAGGAAAAAACTGCAGGAAGATATAAGAAGTTCCTCAAGAACAGGGTCTCATAAAGACAGTTGGTAAATTAATGCTTATTAAAGCCACACAAAAAGGTACACCACAAGCCGTCGGACAGTTTGACGTCAGTACAGCTGTTATAACGAGTTTCATTCATGTGTGGATACCAATATTTACTTACCCCCAAAATTAAAAATCTGGTCACCAGCTCAACCAGCACTTCAAATCGCCTGCCGGCCAGCACACAGGAAACAAAATGGCTTCTGGCTCATCGGATTGCCACTGATGTAATTTCCTGCATGATGCACAAGGATTGCATGCAGGAAATGACATTATTAGCGATCCAATGACCCGGAAGTTAGACATTTTGACTTCTCATGCGGCGGCTGATGATTTGAAGTGCCGATGGAGCCAGCTGTCTTTCTGCATGCACAGTGAATGTGGAAATGCTGAATAGCAATAGTGCCTCACTAAAGCGCTTGTTGGGATGTTTTTCCAAAGGGTGTTGTGGGATGGAGTTCCAAAGGTGGGGGCGGAGAGACTGAAGGCCTATCCGCCAATGGTGGGGCAGGCCAGCCGGGGATGTAGAGCAAGTCCGAGCCTACTGAGCGGAAGGAGCAGACAGGTTGATAAAGGGTTAGCAGGTCACAGAGGTAGGAAGGGGCAAGGCCGTGGGGGGCCTTGAAGGCAAGGACTAGGATTTTGAACTCTATCCTCTGAGGGAGCCAGTGGAGCCAGGCAAGGGTGGGGGTGATGGGGTCACGGAGCCTGCCGCGGGAGAGAACACAAGCTGCAGAGTTCTGGATAATCTGCAACTTGTGGGGGGGGGGGGGGGGAGAGTTGGGGAGACCGACAAGCAGCGAGTTGACGTAATTGAGCCTAGATGTGATGAATGCGTGAACGAGGGTTTCAGCAGCCTGAGGGGTGAAGCAGTGACGGAGCTGGGCGATATTGTGGAGGTGAGGGAAGGCAGAGCGGGTCATGGCACGGATGTGGGGGAAAAAGGACGGTTGAGGGGCAAACAAGACGTCAAGGTTCCTGACTGGCTCAGAGAGGTGAAGGATGCATCCTTGGATGTTGATGTTGCCACGTACTCTATCCACTGCACCACTGAGTCTGCCTGGCTGGGATTTTGTGGACCTACAACTGGGATTGTACCAGTGATGCAATGTATCTTTAACAGATCACAAAATACTATCATCACTAAAGATGCTATTCTTGAAACAGTAATTACTATCTAATTGCTCAATTGATTAATCGAATCACACACACACACGCCTCTGTTTACCTAGCAGTAAATGGGAACCCGCTTGTTAGTTGACTGGCGGATCGCTTTCCCAGGGTAATAGTACCTCCAAAAAAAAAATCAATAATAATGTGGTCACTCAATCGACTACTGTTGGTGGGATGGCTGTGTGCGCAATTGGCTGCCGCATTTCGCCCACAAAACCCACAATCACTACACTTCGCAGTATATCCTGTAAAGTGCTTTGAGATGTCTCGAAGACGTGATATGGTGCTACATCTAATGCAAGGATTATTATTATTAATAATAATAATTGCTGAAACCACTATCTAGTGTGAAACAAAGCAAGACAGACCCAGAAGCTCCTTGTGCCAAATACTGGACGGTGCCAAGTTAGCACACCTTTATCAGACCAGCTGCAAGTTACTCACTCTGATAATAATAATAATAATAATAATAATCCTTGCATTTGATATAGCGCTTTTCACGTCGGGAGGACGTCCCAAAGCGCTTCACAGAACACACTGTAAAGTGAATTGACTGTATATGTGTGGGTGAACGCGGCAACCAATTGCGCACAGCAATGTCCCACAAACAGTCGTAGATTGAAAATGACCAATTTATTATTGTTTTTGGAGGGATTATTATTAGGCTCTGTGTGGAGTAAGGAAACTTGCCCGAGGTTTCGCCCTCTGCCTGGAATTGAACTCAGGTCTCTCACTTGCAAAGCAAAAAAATGATCCGTGAGAACTCAGTTACCATTCAATTACTTTTGCTTACTGACCGGAGTCACCAAAGGTCAATTTGAAGCACCAATGGGCAGCAGCAGGAGTCTCTAATTGAAGTCTCAAATAGTCACTTGGGCATCTCTATATGTGATTCCGGTCACAGATCACAACGTGTTAAACTCCAATGTCTACAAACATGGGAGTTTCCAACAGGGGTCACTGGGAATAGAAAACTTGGTTGATTTTTTGCTATCAGTTCACAGGCACATAAAAGGATGATGCTAAAATGTCACCTCATCAGTAATCCTGGCACATGGAAATAGTTTAATTTCTCCTAACAATGCATACAGGACTGTTTAGTTCTGCATCAATAATGAGCATTGGTTCTCCAATGCATTTAAACTATTACACTTATAAAAAGTTAATTAGAAAATGTACACTGGACTAAATTCTGAAAAGTCTGAATGATTTTGGATGGATGCATTCTATATGTAGCCCATTACATTGCATTAAAATGACCAACAAGAAAACATCTATGCAAACGTTAATTTAGATTTTCATACCACATTTTACACAGCTCTGCAACTGCACTGCTGCTACCACAGACGGCTTGTAATGAAAAGGAAACAGAATGCACCACCCTAAACCATTTAGTTTGTTGGATCCCTTTTCTGCCACTCCCAGTCATTGCTGCTGCTACTGACAGTTAAACGCTCATGGATGGCGATTTTTCTAGATGCATTAAATCTTTAGGAACTTTTTTCCCTGATCGCTGCTGCTACGTAAATAAAGGTAGCTGAATTGGAGGGGGGGCGAATTAAGAGAGAAGGCAGAAAAAAATCACCTGATAATTAGTTATTATTAGGTAATGGTTGAGCAGAAACACCCAGGACGTTTAAATGTATGACATGACCGCAGTACGAGTACATCTTAAATCTCAATGCCTTTACTTAAGTCACTTATTTGCAGCTATAAACCCAACATAAAGGGAACTTTCATTTGCATCAATTTAAAAAGCATGATGGCATATCTGTAGAAACCCTACCAACTATACAGCAAGTGTTTCCTAATTTAATCTGATCCAATCAACAACTTTGTTCCCTCAATATAAACTGTTTCCTCCATATTCATAAAGGTAAGCAGATTAATTGAATTCATGAAAATGTAGTAGTTTGTCACAAAAGGAATTAGACTCTTGCCTTCCCTCTCTTCTCCCTCCCCAAATGCACGGATCTATTAACTGGTAAAAAAAGGAACCATTGCTAATCCACCGTTCAAGGTTATTAATGAGCTCTGATTGTAATTCAGTTGGGTCATTATCTTGAAAGATACTGGCAGCGGCAAATTGAGCATGTAAAAGCAACTCCTAACGCCAATTGTAGAATTCGACTGACTGTAGAATGAATGCCTGGCTGAAATCAGCTAACTCAGATCAGGCCACATATTGAACCTGATTTTACACATCTGTATGGTTTCAGTTTTATACAGATGGTAGCTTTATTAATATTAGTATCTAAGCCAAATCAAGAGTTACACTTGTTTTTTTTGTGAATGAAAGAAAAACCTAGCCAAAAAATGCCAAATGGCCTAGAACACTAGAATAAGCTGGTGTAAAAAAAAGTCAGAATTTGTGATTATGCCAACTCCTATAATGTACGTGAATACAGATTGAATGCAAACCAGAAGAAAAGGCTCATCTGACCAGTTTCAATGCTTGAATCTTTCCTTTACAAACTATGTGCAACAGTGCACGCACACTAATGATTGGTTTTGCACAATTAGATTTTCATATTTTATTTTGAACAGCAACCTTGGCTGAAGTATGGCACAAGCGCTCTTGTACCAAGCCGGCTGCTATACTCATCCCAAATTCAGAAGCATTAGCAAATGCATTAAAACAACCAATAAAATGGCTCAATGTTATGCCTGTTCTACAGTTATTTTGGGTATGCAATTTGAGCATTATGTCCCAAAGAATGCCTCTTAAGTTATTGTGGTTGTAAATCTATCTGTCAGAGGTAAATATCCTCTTATGCTCATCCAGGCAAATGCAGCCTCTGCAAGCCTCTAGCGTTTAAAAAGTCGAGCTGCCATTGAACAGCTGTCATTTTGCTACTACTAAAATATCTTGTGCAATTCCAATGAATCCCAAGCATCCTGGATATCTGGAAACCCACACATTTAATTAAAGACATCAAATATTTGGGAATGTCTTCCCCTCCCTGTAGAATGTGAAAGCTCTGCACGGTCTTATTATCATTTCTGAAACACTTCACAAATATGACATTCGGTGGTTTATTGCTAGAGAGACTACTGAAAATTTCTCTTTCAAAATTAATTGCTGGCAATGTCAGTATTCTTCACAATTGTAGCTGGTTATCACATCTTATGTTCGCATTACTTTAAAATTATTTTTTATATAAATGATTTAAACACACAAATAAGAGAATATCTTTTAACTCATTAACTTTACTTCAAAACTATTTTCTCTTCCCTAAGAAAAGGAAGTTCCTTGAACATTTATCACTAAAATAAACTAAGAAATACAAATAAACTAAATTAAACAATCTACTGAGAATTCTAAAATCCGGTAGCCACAAAAGAGCAGCCTAGGTTATTCAGAAATATACCATTACATTTCTTTGCAAGTAAGATTACCAGAAAGCTTAAAGAACCTATAATCCCAGTTAATATAGAACAGCTGTTGTATATAAATTAGTGTTAAAGAAAGGTATAACGCCTTACTTGAATTCTGAGTATAAAGAGGGCCACCATTAACATGAGCTTGCACAGAAAACTGAGAAGTCACCGAAGGATTTCGCCTGTAGCCCCCAGAAGATGCCGTAGAGTTGGTGGAATTATGCCGAGAGACCTGCCGGGTCATGGTACTGTACTGGGAACCAGGAGCCGAACCAGGGCCAGCTAAAAGCATTAAAAAGGTAACAGCAAACAGGGGAAAAAGAAATGAGCATTATTCCATAATTTGAGACAGATAAGAATCATTCAGTTGAAGGAAACCTCAAGCCAGCCACAATAGGAAAGGAGTGATGAAATTTAAATGTAACATAACATTTCAGTTTGTAAAATATTCAAGAGATCTGAACTTCTTCCGAGTTGCATTGAAACAAGTTGATGAATCATTCTTCCTGAAGACTCTTTCTATTCTGCTGTGGTTCCTGTTCATCTTACCAGTTATATAAGATTGGAATGACCGGAATAAAATCAAAGTCACATGACCTCCTGATTAAACATACTTTCCATCATAAATGTCCCAGAAGGGAGGTGCCATTTCCTGTTAAATGTGAACTTTGTTAGACATGCAGAGAGAAACATTTTAATTATTGTAGCATATCAATTTCTTATTCAGGCCGGTTCCAGTCGCAAACCTTCACCAAATTCACTAAACAGTAATGAGCCATTAAAATTAGTAGAGGCTTTACACTTTATAAAAGCGTATATACTTTGAAATTTTAATTTCAGTTCTTCAGTTTTTTGGCTATCCAAATATCAAATGAGTTAAATGTTTTCAGATGCTCAATGTGAATGTAGATATGCTTTTATAATAGGAACGCTGAAGCCATTTTCATCCATGTAAGAATCTTAACTGGAAAATCTACAATTACTGTATATTTCACATGCAAAACATGTGACGTTTCTTCAGAAGATCCTACTCCAGGAAAGGTAGAATTGCTGCCACAAATTGTCAAAGGCATTGGATGTTAAATTTTGGCATTTTCTTTTAAAACCACAATTTAGAAGGCCTCCACACAGCCGGACACAAAAGTGGAAATAAAAGATATCGGATACAAACTAAGAGACTTTTGTTAATTGATTTTTATTTTATTTTGTAAGCTTCAGAATAACCCACTAAAACTAGGTAGGCGTCAACCCCAACCGAGACAAGGATTTCCACATGGATAAAAAATACCTTCATCTCCAGTTCCTTATACCCCATTCTTAGGCAGAATTATATCAGCAGGGTTTTACAAATGCTAACTCACTGCAACCCAACACCAATTCTGTGCATCTATAAAAACCATTGCAAATTAGCTGTGAATCAAAGCACAGATGCGTGAGTAGTTCTGAACAGGAGGTGGTCTCACCTATCAAACTGCCCGCTGGCAGTGGAGGTGGTGGAGGTGGTAGGGAAAGGGATCCAGCAGGGACAGAATATGGTGCTACCAAAATAATCACAAAATGTGGTTATAACAAGCTGCTGGATAACAGTGCACAATTTACTGAATTAGAAATTACAAGGAATTGTGATACAAGTAGACAATAAAAGAAAACGGCGTTAGTGTTGGACGACAGCAGTAAGTGTACACGTCACATCATGCTAACATTTCTCACCTAATGTAGGGCCACCAGGCAATGGAGGGGGAGGGGGAGGAACATCATTCGGGAACTGAGAATACTGTGTTGACAGAAGATGGGGAGGGGGAGGGAGATCTCCTGTACATATGCAACATTACAAAGTCAGTTTTTTTTCTCTCCAACATTCAAGGTCTAGTATCTACACATAGTCGTATCAGGTGGAAATACTGGTTTGTCAAGATTCAGGGCTTGTGGCAAACTGAAGGTGGAACTTAATATAAACAACACCTCCACTAAATTTTGGTATATTTAACTTCTGCCTCCAGCAAAATAAAGGTAACAGGCAGAAGAAAACAGCTGAATTGTTGGTTCTTCGACGTTTATACAATTAGTCCTGCTTCAAGAGGCACAAAGTAAATGTGATAGGGCATAGCTGACATACATGGCAGTACACATGCCTCAGGCAGCAAATGCCGAACACAGCACTGGGATCGTCTTTCAAATACATGTGTGCTTTGTAGGCAGTCTCTATTAGCTTTACCATACTGCCACTAGTAGTAAAGCAGGATATTAAGTACAACATTGGAACGTCATTTATGAACTGTTCAACCAAACTGAATCTCAAATTTAGAAAGAATTTGACTGCTGTTCAATTTAAAGTCAAAACATGTCCTGGATTACACAAGACCTGCACAGCCACTAACCCCTTTGTTCCACCTTAAACATTTAATTGCTTCATGTACAATTACTAATACACGTAAGCACAAGGGTTAAACCAGTTACTCCGATTTAACCCTTTCAGCCAATTTCAGGAAACTGACACAGCATCAAGTCTTTTAGGATGGATCAAATAAAGCCCCTCCAAACTCAGTTTACAACTCCAGTCACTGGACAATGGAATTCAAACAGTTTGGGGACAGGAAAATGAGACGAGGGGTGGAATTATGGTCTACAAAGCAATATTTCCTGAGGGAACTCAACCCCTAAAGAATGGAATTTTGGGGCTCCAGATATTGTTTATAATACAAATTAACCTGTTTCAAGTAGTTTGTTTACTTTTAAAATTAGTTTTAAATGCACAGTATTTTTCAAATTAAACGTTTAACTTTCACTCCAATATCATCACCATCTCATGAATGCATTTCACATCACATTAAACAAAATTATTACTGAAACAAATGCGCAGCTGAAAGAACATCCCTCCCAGCATCTGAAATCACTTATTGACAGGAATGGTCAGATTTAAGTAAGCCTAGAAATGGGTCTTGGCAACTTTAGAATCACCATTTCCACTAGCATATGGTTTCCCTCTGAAAATCTTGCTGGTATTCTGATTAATATTTATAATTTATTATTGAAATGTGCTAGGTTTGAGCCACTATTTTTAAATGCAACCCACTGGTTCCACTGTGTGGTGATGAGACAAATGTTTGCCGATACCAGTGAAGTAAATATTTTGTGCCAATACTGTGCCTTTATAGGTTGGTTTGACAGTGAGATTAACTTATCATCGAGCATTTCAATCAGAATATCTCTTATTCTTGTGTTAACTGATACGTTCATGTTCTAGTGCTCATTGGCTTAAACCATTCGGACAAAGATTTCTTTATAAACTATATATAGTTTAGGATACAATGAAACAGACCTGGCAAAATGGTGGGTGGTGAGGGCGTAGGTACAGCAATGGGAATGCCTATACTGCTACTCCCACTATTTTCTCGGCTTCCACTTCCTCCACTGCTTCCACTGGAAAGGAAACGGGACAAAAAGTATTTTTTAAAAAAGTAAGTCCTCTGAGGGAGAGGGGAGATTGGAAGGCAGAGAAAGAGTATTAACTTTTTAATAACATAGAATTATGTCTTTCACAGTACAATTTCATTAGAATAACTTTCTGCAGGCAAACACAACAGCTACAGTAACACAGTGAGGTTTCACCTTTCAGCCTTAGCAGTTGTATTTCAAACCTTATGAAACATTTGTAATTGGTCCCAACTCATCAAGAAATGAAACATGACTGAACATGACTGGTGCCACACACCTAACTTCTACATCTCATTCTTGAATGAGGCTTTATAAACCATTCGTGGTCTGAAACACAGATCTAACCGCAATGGATTAAAAATGTGAAATTTCAATGCATTGTTTTTGGTTGTGAGGGGGAAGGTTAACAAAATTTGTTCTGAAAAATTAACTTTGAATTTAGCCATCTTTCCCCAATTTGTGGATGTGTTCCATCACTCTGCAATCTTGTTGTAATTTAAAATGTTAAATGTCTAAAATGTTAAAGTTCTTGGACCATTGCAAAAAAGGTACAATATCAAGAGGGCGAGGGCAATTTCTCTCCCTCCTGCTTTATTCACCCGTGAAGAGGCAGATTCTTACTGGGACACAAATGCACAAGAACGAGCAAAGCTCTGGTGAATCTGGCCATTCGTTACCCAAGAAGTTAGATAGCACATGTTGGCAAGCTATTAAATGCCACATTTCAGTAATATCCAGTTCTGGTCTCAACATCAACACATCTTCCTTTTCCAACTCAATAGCTTGCTATCAGTAATAGAAACCTGGCCTGATTGGTTTCACTTTCTCTAGTCCAGGAATGCAAAGATCCAATGTGTTTTGAATTGCTTGCTTAATGTATGAATGGCTGGTTATATAAGCTTCAATTTAAATGGCCCATCTCTGGTTTATGCTCTATAGTTTTACAAAGGTAGCAGTCACATACTTCAAATAACGTTCAAATGAGACTAATAGCAACAATTCAACTCTATATGAAGCCACTGTGTGTGTAGAAATACCAGTGTTGCTCTGAATGTAAACACTTGAGTGAAGTTGGCCCAGTTCCCAGTATTGATGGCAGATGACAGAAGCAGTTTTACTCTTATTTACTCTGTTCTTCTACGTTTTGAGCATGCCGGTGCCTATTCTCCAGCTTTAATTAATGCCCTTGAAAGTTTTACCTCTCACTCTTCTCTCCCTTCTCTGTTTAGTCTGATTTCATAAATCCAAGGTGTAAATGGACAATCCCTGAAATAGCTTGTCAGGTGGCAGTAGGGTTACCGGAAATTTTCAGGAGCAAATATATCAGCACTATTCACACTGAAATCCCAATGCTACCTGCCATTTTGTTTCTCTTGACAAGGCTGGCTGAGATTAACTTGTTCTCATGGCTACTGCAATAATCGCTCTTTTCTTTCGTTTCCTGAAAATTGTTTTATAACTTTTGTTTAATTCCACCTGGAGGATTGAGATTATATAAATAATGGTGGTAGAAACCAGACTGTATGAAGCCAAGGAATGTGGGTGAAGTTAGAGAATGTAGATTATGAGGGATATACAAAAGCTATTGCTCTTTTGAACTTGCCTCTAGTTCTTCATAAACCCACTTTTACATGTTCCTTCCCCCTTCCCTCGCATTTGCCACTTGGTCAAAACATCGCTCTAATTGATTCTTTTCCAGGACCTACAACCCATGAACCTTAGCTTCCTCAATCTTCCCTTCCTCTTACAAGGTACAGGCTTTTGAACCGCACATTCACCACTACATCCTGAATCATCGAGTTCAGGTGGTATCCAGCACATCAAGTCTAGCTTTTTCAATTGAAGAGAACATTAGCATTTTCAAATCAACATTCATTTTGTTATAATACTTTTCCCATAATGAAATAACCCACCCCCACCCTTCCACCAAAATCATGATTTTTAAAGTTCAATTCCAAGACACACATATACATCTATGTAACCTATGACAAACCCATCAGAAAAAAATGTAAAAATGTATATAAGTTATAAAAGGCACATGTATATTTCATATGAATAACAAATTGAAAGATAAGGATTCAAATTATACATTGTATCACAACCTATGTGCAATCTAGATGCAAACTTAAGAGGCAAGAATTCTATCCGCTCAACTCCTGTTAATGCTGCAAGTCAAAGCCTCAATGGGTAGGGTGGTCCTAGCTAGACAAGTAGCATCCTGTATGGGATTTGGGTGGATTAATTGATAAACCTTCACCAGCGAAAGAGGTGGAAAGAGGTGGAAACATGAGAAGTGAAACTAAACAGTGCTTCCAATGGCAAGTTTTGTAGTTTTAGCTGGTTAGCAGCAGTAGCTGGTTAGCTAACCAGCAGCTGGTTAGCAGCAGTACTTCAAAGCATACTGGAGTCCCCAAGCCTTAGCTCTTGCCACCCTGCACCAAATACTCTCCAGAATGAGGTAGCAGAATGCATCCCTTTAGATACATCCATTTAGGTACATCCATTCCAATACACAGGGATTTCTAAGTGTAAGCAGAATACATGGAACCCTTGGTTTGGACACTCCTAAACACGATGATGGTTTCTGCCAGATACCCAGAGAAAACAAAAATGCAAACTGGAATATTATTCCAATCAGCACGCGATACAGTGTGTAAAAAAATGGGATAATGGAAATTTGTTCACAACACAAACTGCAGTGTCTGAACTGGATCCAAGAAGATTTTCCTGCCAAAGCCAGGAAGATCTGGAGTAATCCAAATCATGGCTGATGGTTGACAGGACTTTCTGATTCATCATTGCAGACATGATCTCAACCCAGCAAACCAAAGTCCCAGTGACCAGGTTAGTCCAAAATGAATGCACAGTTTCCATCAGTGCAAAAAAAACTGGTGTAGTTTAAAAATACACCAACCATATTTTTGTCTACCATCTCACTTTTCTTTAAAAAAAAATAACTATGAACAAACTGTCTTATTGCCACGGTTTTAGGATTTTCTTGAAATGCTAGAAACCTAATAAAATAATTTCTCTTCAATTTCTTAAGATTTTAAATACTGATTTCATGGTCACTGTGAATAATTAATTATCCAGTTGACAAGGTTCGATTGCTTGATCAATATCAGTAATCCCAGTGATTAGTTTCCCAGTGAAGCAGTTTCTGTTTCAGAAACAGTTCTGGTTAAATTGAAGGATTTGTTTGTACCAACTTCAAGACTTCTTTAAAACCAAAGATATTGCTACTACAATATTTTTGTCTTTAAACAATTCAATGCAACCCAATGACTCATAGATTAAAAATCTTAGGATATAGAAATTATTTCCTCTTTTTCAATTACCCATTTTGCAAAATGCCACCTTTGGTTTGAGTACCTAATATACATTAAACAATTAAACTCTGCCCAAATAATAAGCTACAGATTCAAAATGAATTATGTAATATATACACACACCATATATTATAGATAAATATAACTAAATAAAGCTCCAACATCTAGATACTATACAACAGAAACAAATTTTCTGCAATGAGGGGGCCATTTTGCCTAAAATGTCCATGTCACAATCATCTGCTTTTCCAAAATCATCCTTTATTTCTGATGGACAGGAATATCATCAATTGGTACAACTACCAAATAAATATCCAGTCAGCTTCATCAGCAAAAGAAATTAGGCCAGTATTTTGTGACTGCCTGGCTCATAAACTGAAGACTAGATCTAAATACTAAGAAGATATACATTTTAAACTACTGCAGTTCTGACAACGTGATCCTTCACAGTAAAAGCAACTTCACTGAATAGATAATATTTACAAAGCTTGCATACCTGTGTGTTCTTGGCCTTTGGTTCAGTGACGCTGTTCTACTCGGACTCTGCTGGTTTGCACCAACATTTCGGGCAGGACTCGTCATATAATCGTTAGGAATAACAGGTGGTTTGACAGGCTCTAATGTTTTATAAGGAGTGTTTCGTCTAAAGAGGGAGGAAACAAAGTCACTTTGTAATTGTGTCCTAAAGAAAGCAGGTCTGCATTATTAAAATAAACAAAAACTTAGCTGTAAAATTCAAGCAAAGAAGACAACGGAAACGTCCTTCACAAGATATTATCAAATTATCTTCCTTCCATACAGTAAACAATATAGTAAGTTCCTGATAACTCAACCCTGGCTTAATTTATCACTACTACTTAATCAACATCACAGCCACATTTATGTTTATACATATGGCTAACTCACCACTCCTGACAACTCATCACTGAGCCCTTTCCCTTAGAGTGACGAGTTATCCGGGGTATTTTACACATAAAACAGCAATTTGAAAGAAGTCAAAACCTGAAAGTAAGGCAGTAGCTAATGATAAACCGAGGTAAATCAATGAATTGTGGTAAAGAAGCATTCAGAATAGTCAATTACTATTAACTATTCTCCAGTCTGATAAGCCTCCCAACTTGGAATAAGCACCCAAATTGTTATTAATTGGGTCTGTACCAATGCTTTGTTTCTATTTTCTTTATGTACATGCATACACCACAATCTCATCCCACCCAATTACATCACCCCCAACCCTATTCCATCGCTCTTCCAACTGCTGCTCATTTTTCACTCCCTCCGTCCTGGTATTGGTGGTCAAGCCTTCATCATTATGTCCTCTCTCCCAACAGAAATACACCCCTTCCCGTTTCCCATAAAATTGTTTCATCCTGGCGAATACAGAGCAATCCCATTCATAAAGCAGTTGAGTGTAGTTCACTTGGAGCTGATGTTCTGTGGACCCACTGGAAGCATCTGGCACTGACTGGCCTGCTTCCTGGTCACCAGATCGTTGCTATTACTTATGAGCACAAAAAGTGACATGTCAGTCACTTGACTATCTGGAAGGCAGTTTTTTTTTAGCGTTCTTCATTTTAACAGTCTGAAGTAGACTCAAATTGCCGTGTTATAACGAGGTTGTCTTGAATTCTGGTCGGGCACTACACTTTTTTTAAAAATAAAAACGTCCATTTCTTTAGTCACTGTCGGAAATGTTTAACCTGAAAGCCAAATATTTCAAAACTGACACGTTCTGAAACAATCCAATAAAAGAAATGCTAAACCCTTCTCAAGCCTGATGTGCTGATACTTAAATACTCTGTATCTAACAAAGTCTGAGATTGTACACATTTATTCTTTGAATTTTTTTGTCAATTCTTTCATGTTTAATTTTGTTGACATTCAAATTCCTAGAAACGAATTTTCACGAATTGATGGTGTCAATAGTGACACAAGTGTGAAGAGGGTTTGGTTTAAAATTAATGCAGTGCAAACTGAAATATAGGTTAACGTTCTCTGGAGAGCAGTTTATTCAGGACTAAATATAGGCTTGTGCCAGTGAGAGCTAAAATGATCTTAAATGAATTTAGTTTCAATTTCCTGCTACAGCAAGTTAAACATGGGTTCCTAATTTTTGGATCACCTTCTGGAAACTTAATGAGCCAAGTGCAAGAGAGAGAATTGTGAGTGGAAGCATGAAAACTGTAGATTTGTGAGCAGAAATGTCCCATTCCAGACATAGCAACTTTTATATGTAGGTGAAAATATATACACAGATGTCTATATATCATATATGTGAAAACTTAGCCTGGTTTGGCTATTCTTAAACATAGTGATGGGTGTCTGCATGGATCATCATATAAAGAAGAAAGTTCAAGACATAAATTAATTGTGTGTGCAAGTGTCAAAACGATATATTTACAAGAGTGGGCCACACTTGTGCACAAACATAAAATTCATGCTGGAGTGGGGACAAGACCAGGCCAGGCAAGGAAGAGGAGACTTTTTTTTAATGTAAGGGCATCAACAAAGTTGCTTGGTGTGCTTGATTTTGAAAGTGTCTCACAAAAAAATACTTCTCAGATATTCTCAATCAGATGTAGAAAGGAGACCAAGAAACAAAGCAAGATCAAAATGAGATCACAGAAATTAACAGTAGAACATCCAAGCCACAAAGAGGGGTAAAGAGCGAATACCTAATGGGAACAGATTTTAAGCCAAATTAATCAGGAAGAATCCAAAAGCAGAAACAGCACAAGTGAATCAATAAGATTTGGAAACTAAAGATTAAAGTGGTTGCTGGACAAAGGGGAAGTAGGAATTAAAACAAAAACATTTTATCCAAACTGTACATATTGTAGCTACTACCATTGTTATGCCTCGTATCGTCTACATGAAATTGGGAATATCTGGCCTGGATGATTCCAGGCTCACTATATTTGTTTACATTCTTTAAGCGCAACAGACAACAACTTCTTTAAGGAAATTTTTTTTTCCTTTATGCAACGCCTTTGGACGTCCTCCCAAAGTGAAAGGCGTTATATAATGCAATTTGTTATTTGTAAATAAAAACAACCACCCGAGAACAGCTATAATGGCAAAAATGCTCAACAAATCTGAGCATTTTCTCACAACCGTGAGCAAGTACATGTTCCCTGGTAGTAAGGAAGCACATAATTTATGACCAGACATTCTCCAGTTGTCTGTAATTTGTTTTCATTGGTTTCTAGGATATTCCCAAAATGTATTACAGCTCCAATACAATGTTAATTTATAAATACATTTTGCAAAATGATCACATACCCTAACGTTCCACGTCCTGACATTGGGGGACTTGGTGGCTTTTGTGTTGGTGGGTTTGTTCGTGTGAGTGTCCCAGTTCTCGTTGCCTGGTTACTTCCATGCTGCAAGAGAAATCAAATTTAACTTCATGCTGCAAGAGAAATCAAATTTAACTTCAGCTAAAGAATGATTAATAAACTAACCAAGAAGCCACCACTGTATACTTACTTTATAATAACAAATGGACGCAAGTTTCTGTTGACTATTGTGAAAATATTATCCGCAAAAAAGGCAGGTTGATTTTGCCGCATTTCGCCCACAAAATACAGTCAATTCACTTTACAGTATATCCTGTGAAGCGATTCGAGACGTCTCAACGACGTGATAGGGCGCTATATCAAATACAAGGATTATTATTACACGATCAGGGTTTCCCAGATGTGAATATAAGCATTATTCTAAAGTAGCAATGACAACAGTAATTTCTTTATAACTTTTATGCTCAAATTTATGACTGGTCAATTAAGTTATTTATTTAAAGGCACAAAAAGTTAAATGTTAAACACTTAACTCAGAGGTGAACCAATAATTATTAATCTGAAAATATGCCTTTTATAAAAAAAATTGAATACCCAAAGAAACTACCACCAACAGCTTATCGACAAAATCTAACAAAAATATCTGGGAAGCCCCGAGTACAATTAAGAAAGATTTATTATAAGACTGCTAAATCCAATGAAAACTATGTTAGTGTATACATCAAAGGCATGTTTTGCCTTAAACTTTCTATAATCAATATATCTCTAAAATGATATATTGGGAGATATTGGAAAAGCTCTAAAAATACTGTTGCACCTGAGAAGGGAAGGCATATGAGAATAGAAGAGGTCATACACTGATATTTAGAGTTTCAGCAGCTATTTCTATCTTTGGTACACTAGGATTCATATAGGAAATAGTTCATCTTACCTTGGCTTTAAGCCACTTAATGTTGCCAAAGGGAGAAAAATAAGGAAAAATTAACCACATGTCAACAAAATTAGCAGAAGAGTAAAAAGGAAAGCACTTCAGAAACGTAACAGAATTTTACAAGCATCGCAGTAAAAATACTCATTTAATTTTTTTGTGCTTGCCATCATTAGCCAGTGGCACAATGTCTCCTTATATTAACAAATGTCAGCCAGCTGAGCTACTGGAAATAAGTATGTGCTTCAATTAACACTAAGATAAACATTCCTGCACCCGTTGAGATTACGTTAACACGTGACAATCCAGGCTTACTGGCTGAAACTAATGAGTACAGCTTAATACCGTTTCATGAAAGTAACTTTGTTTAAAAAACTACCTTCCCCCCCACACACAGAAACACGTGTGTAATTATGCTGCCCAGCTATACATTTGGTGCAGTTAAAGATCACAACACAAGCAGAAAAGAAAGATTACTAGCCTGATTTTTTTTTAAAAAAACATTCTTTGAATCAAGGAAGTCCTCTCCACATCAAATATGGAGATCTACTCCCAGCATCAAATTTCAGAGAAATCTTTTAAATCCACAGCTTTTCTTGAAATCTAATTTTGACCTTTTCATGCCATGACATCAGAAGATGCTTCCTCTTTTCCTCCCCCACCCCCCTCCAGTTTGTTTACAGTCTTATTTTGTATACCCAATACTTATAAATCCCTTGAAGACACCTGTGGATTTTGATGAGAGGGAACTCAGTATGTGGAGAATGTCTTCTAATTTGAAGAGTAATGACCCTGCCACATGTAAGTCATTTTCCTTTCTTCGTTTGCAACGTCCTCCATACACAAGCATACCAGATAGTACCCGGAAGAAGCGGAGAGAGGCCCTTACAACAAACCAATGAGTCCAGCAACTAGGAAGGAAATGCAAAAGGATCTCTCCTGTAGTAACTATGGATTTACACAAGTTGCTCAAAGTAACAGCCTAACAAGCATCTGTGGAGTTTACACTTGTCTAGGAAGTGGTTGTACAGCGAGTAGATAACCCCTTCATTGACCTGGATGAAAGTGCCTCACCAATTATTTCATGACAGGTTTCGAACGTGTGAAAAGCACGATACATTTCCAAGTTTACAATAGATTTTGCAAAATGCTAAAAGCATACGGTTCTCCATGTAATGAAAACCATACTCCCAAATCTTACTCGTATGGTAAAATATTCACTTTGATAGAAAACAGGGAGAGGCCCTCAACACTGCCTCAGCATTACACCAAATCAAGCCGGCTGATGAACATATATTGACTATCCCACTGAGCTGACAGACATCAGCAGCAGGCTCACATTAACGTCACATCACTGGAATTCATAAATTTGAATAAAGTGTGCACTGATTTATGTTACACCAAGTCTGGAGCCCACAAAGGAATCTATAGTATTGAATTTTGATATCTCTTTCATAACATGAAAATACCCTCTAAGCAAACAGCAAAAATGTTATGGAGAATATAAATAGCTGCATATTTGAGCATGGCTTCAAGCTGAATTTTACCAAATGTTTCAGTATTTGAAAAAGAGTTTGTATCTTTAGAAATGTACCAAATGACAAATAACTTCCATTTTATCTTTGATATTTTATTGGTAGACTTGTCATGAGGCTCTATAAGCACCTTCACTACTAATGAAGACTAGCATCAGTTTACAACCTCCTCCTCCCAAAGCTACCAACGACTTGAACCAGAGGCCCACTGGCTCTAAGCAATGAATCTGATCCAACTATTGGATGAGAAGGGATGTTTTGCAGGAAGTGCATATTTTTAGCAATCGTTTAATGTACATTTGCTCACCAGTGGGGGAACAAACTAAACAGACATCAGGGAAGCCCTCCTAATATACAAAGCCAAAGAGTTGGTGTCTTCTATCATAGCATCAATATAGTCATATAGCTGTCCCTTTGAAGTAACTCTTCCAAGACTTGCAGACCTCAGGTTAGTGTGTGGAGGATGTTGAGAATGAAGAATGGAAAAGGTTGCATTCCTATGAGCACAGGTGATCAGGATTTAACTGGTACATGTTACATCATGTTTAAATGAATGCATTAATGCAGGTCACTTCATAGCATGCACAAAAAAAAACTATAAATTTCAATCGGTCTTATCTATCAAGAATGAGAGGCAAACACCGTACAGATGCCGCACATACCCAGATTGGTTCAGGCATCAACCACCACATAACCAAGTTTTTTTTAAACTGGGACTTAAGGAGAAATTTGCCACATCTACAATCAATCATGGACCAAACTATTTATCCAATCCCAAAGGTCACTAAAAATTGGGGTGGGTCTGGGGTCAAACATGTTTATAGTAAAAACTACACTGAAAAATTACATATTCTCAAATAATTTTTTTGCTATAAATTTGCAATTAAAATTGATTTCACCCCACCCTAGCTGCCGCCAATTACTCGGGTGCTCACCTCTGGATGTCCTCCCGATTGGAAAGGCACTGTATAAATGTAAACTGTGGTATATTTTGCTTTCTGTCGATTTCATTTTATGTTGTTATACAGCATGGCTCAATTTCAGTGTTCTACTGTCTCCTCCAATTTGTTGTACCCTTCTCTGTTCATCGATTACTGCTCTACACTAGAATGTGCTGTGCAGTTGACGTCAGTTCTTGGAAGGTTGTACACAGGTAAGCTATGTGCAGTAAATCTGATGTTCCCATACATTTGTGCTACTCATAATATATGGACCAAGGCCAGGCTATTATAACGAGCATTGTATCCACCACATATAGATTTAACCACGGTTATATTTTCCACAGTATACAAAAGAGAAAAATAAATCTTTGTACAACTTAAATTTATGTGCACTTATAAAAGAAAAAAATTCACTTAGTCATCTAAGATATCTTATGATTAGCAGACTAAAGCAAGTAGTATGATGCATTTAAATATTTAAATAAACATTAATACTTCAACCATTATCAGTATCATACCACTAAGCTATTTCATAAACCAACTACAAAATGGATAAAACTAGAATTAAAAGAAGCCCCATATATTTCAGCTGCGCTCACGACTATCTTACAGAAAATGCAAGTATGAAGAATGGATACAACCTCAAATGAATGCACCCGAAGGTTAAAAAATATGTACACAATGAAAACTCACTTGGGGAATGTACCCACTATAGAATCTTAGCTCTTTTAAGAGAAAGGGAACAAAATTAAAGGACTGGAGAAAGGGAATAGCAAATCCCTACGCTTTCCTTCCGATTCAATAAAATATATTCTTTTCAACTGCAAGCTTGTCTGCAAAAGGAAATGTATAGTGCACAGAAAATATTTTAAAAAATGGAAGTTCATGACATTTTAGGAAACCTATAGCACAGAACTCTTCCTGGTCAAAGGTCATGACCAATATTTTAAACTTCAAAAGATAAAACACAGCTATCATACAGACTAAATTACAGCTGAAAACACAGGCTACAATATTCATTTATGGGTTTGTTGGTGAGCGGTTGCTTAGATTCTGTGGCTGTGATCTTGTATTACAGCTGGCTTAAGGCCAGCACAAAAAGCCACAATGCAATCAATAGATAGTGCCAACAAACCTTCCATTCAATTTAGATGAAGTGGCTGATTCTCTTCATTCCTCAGTTGAATACTCTCAATAAAGTATTCCATTTAGTAAGCAGCTGTAGGTTACATGAAGCATTTGAACTGAACTGCTATAAACAGTAAATATTCTGCACTATGTGGGTGCACTTCCTAAATGGAGAGCATTGCTATTTTTAGTTTTAAGTATTGATAATTTTGCTAAAATTAGTCTTCCAAGCATATTGGAAATACGTATGAGAAGTGAAGTTTTGTGTCAAGATTGGCTCAGTGACAGAACTCTTGCCTCGGTATCAGTAGGTTGTGGGTTCAAGCCCTAATCAGTGGGGGGGGGTATATTGTTGAAGGTGCCATCCTTCGGATGAGACATTAAACTGAGATCCTGTGTATCTGTTCAGGTAGACATTCAAGATCCCACGGTACTATTCGAAAAGAGAGGGAGTTTCTCCCAGTATCCTAGCCGACAATACCCCAAATAAAATTGGTCATTCATTTCATGGCTGTTTTGTGACACTCCCACAGTCACTCCACTTCACAATAAATCCTGTGAAGCACTTTGGTAAAGTGAAAGACACTATACCAATTGCACAGATTATTATTATTATCAACTTTCCAACTCCGATGAGAGTGCTACCAACTGAACTACTCGGACACCTGAAGAGGGTTAACGAATTAGCAGCCAGGCTAGAAATAGGGAGGGTAGAATTAGGCTTGGCTGTCATTCCCCCTTACCAAACTGATTGTCTAAGTTGATTTGTGAAGAATTTTGTTACTGGAAGACTGAAAAAATTCCAGTCTTCAACAACGATGACAAGGAAGATATCTAAAAAGTGTGTAGATTGGCAGACATCATAAATAATCCTTGTATTTAATAATACTTGTATTTGATAGTGTCTTATCACATAGTTGAGACGTCCCAAAATATACAGTAAAGTGTATTGATTGTGCGTTTTGTGGGTGAAACACTGCAGCCAATTGCACACAGCAGTATCCCACAACCGGTTGAGGATTGAGTAACCAAATTGTTTTATTTATTTCTTGGGGGGATTATTACCCACAGAAAACGATCTGCCAGTCAACTAACAACCGGGTTCCTACTAAGTAAACAGAGGCATGTGGAGGAAGGAAAGGAATCAAACCCAGGTCCTCTCGCTTGCGAGGCAAGTGCACCAATCACTAAGCTACAGGACTCCACAAGGGATTTACTGTAAAGTGTAGTGATTTTGCATGCTTTATAGTGCTGTGTAATACTCTTAACAAACAAACAAACCCTCATTTTGATTTAAAAAAGGGAAACTAAAGAGTTCTGCAGAGAGGTACCACCTTTAATCAACTTCACCCATTTCTCAATTATAACATGTAAAAGGAGCACCGTGTTGTGCCATTGTGCAGAGCTTCATTGC